ACTGACCTTCCAGCGGCCCTACCTGTAGTGACACAGTACTATATGTATACTATAACAGGACTGACTGACCTTCCAGCGGCCGTACCTGTCGGCCAGGTAACCACTCAGAATGCCGCACACCATGAAGCCCAGGAACACCATCTGAGAGGAAGCATGATTATTAATATAGAGATCAATAAATAAACTTTAAATCAATAAATAATATATAAAGAGACTCACGGTGGAGACGAGGGCGACCTGCCAGTCCTGAAGACGCCACTCACAGCGAATCTCTGGAGAAACTACAGCGAGCAGCATGATCTCCATCGCCTCGATTATCTATTGATACATTCAAGTAATTCATAATTCTACTTAATAAATATAAAATGTTGTAGAAATGTCACTTTTTAATATCTGCAGTATTTAATCTCCGAGTCATTAAAGGTGGGGTAGGTAAGTTTGAGAAACCGGCTCGAGATACACTTGTTGTTATATTCCATGGAATGCTCTTAACATCCAGATAGCAATGAATATCTGAAGTGCTTTGACAAAAAATCCATAAAGAAATATCATCTGTGGAAGCTGTAGTACTGTAAAAAGCACGACCAATCATCTGAGCCGGCTAAAATAACTGGATGGCCTACCTGCCTGTCAGCCTTCCATCGGGGCACAAACTTATCTCGTGCCCTCATTGGTCATGTGCGCGTTCGTGTGTGTTGGAGGAGGGGCTCTGGAAGGAAGTGGCAGATTTTCTCCGGTTGTGTATTTTCAAATTCTAGCGATCTCGAGCCGGTTTCTCAAACTTACCTACCCCACCTTTAATGTAATAATAATAATAATAATAATAATAATAATAATAATAATAATGCTCACGTTGGTGCTCCCCATGATGAGGAACAGCAGGATGTGGAAACGGCCGAAGCCGATAAACTCCACCGCGTCCTCGACAGTGAACGTCTCGTCTGCGGACCACAGCTTATTATTTACAGAAATCTAAAAATAATAATAATAGTTAATTATAAGAATAAACAAAGTCAGACTCACCATTGTTGTTGTTGTTGTTGTTTCCTTTGCCCTGCCGCTTGTGTGCAGGTTTCTCCTGAAGCTCCATGTCCTGCAGCTGGATGGAGCTGACCAGCTGTGCTGCATCCCCCATCCTACACACACACACACACACACACACACACACACACACACACACACACACACACACACACACACACACACACACACACACACACACACACACACACACACACACACACACACACACACACACACACACACACACACACACACACACACACACACACACACACACACACACACACACACACACACACACACACACACACACACACACACACACACACACACACACACACACACACACACACACACACACACACACACACACACACACACACACACACACACACACGAGGCAGGAGGGACTCAGGTTTAACCAAACTCAGTTCATAAATACATAGATTTAGTGAACATGTTTCTCATCAACAACAACAATAACAACAACAACACGCTGTAAAAGCAGAAACTGACCAAACTGAACTAAATATTGAGATTGATGTTATTATTTATTAAATGAAAGCGTCATCAGTCTGTCAATGAGACCAGTTTAAATCACTTTATTTAATGAATCTAGAACTAAACGGTGGATTGTTTTAAAGCCAAATTAACTTTAATACTCTTTTCTTTTATATTCAGTTGTTTTTGTTCCGGGTTTGAATCCACTTTAAATCCGGAGGAAACTTGAAATCATCAGATTCTGAACAGAGTTTGGCGGAGATTAAAGCTGAGTTTTAAAGCTGAGTTCCGGTCATAAACTGAGATGTATTACCGCGAGGTATCAGGTAGATAAACAGACTGATCATAAACACTCTCACTTCCGATCCCGTATCGACAAGCTCCCGCTGTTTCACGGGCGTAGATGAGTTCCTGTTGAACGTGTTTCTCGGTATTTCGCGGTGTTGTACTCACACGGAATCTGTCCTCATTCTGCGGGAACTCTTTCAAGTGAACCTGTTCTTCTGCTGTTTACCTGCTCTGTTTACCTGCCAGGTAACCCGGAAGCTCCACGTCACTGAGGGGAGACACACCTTCAAGTTGGTGACGTCACGATGACTGATTGGAGCATCAGCTATTAAAGTTTCTTAATTTACCTTTGAATGTTTTACCTGTCTCTTAAAGCCTTGAAGGTTAAAAGCATGGATGTATTCTGTGATAACAAGATGTACCCCCCCCCCCAAAGGATCATTGTTTCTTTAGACAATAAGAAAATAAATCATGAATGAAAAGATTAAATAGATTGTGATGTGAAATGTGCAAAAATAGGTTCATTAATAATCACTAGAGATTTTAAATCTGCAGCTTCTTTAAACTTAAGCACGAAAAGCTAAATAACTTTAAATACAAATATTAAGATTTCTTAATTTAATTTCTAATGTTTGACAGTTTCCCTAAAAACCCTAGTTATAAACATGTGTTATGACCACGTGAGAACAAGACAACTAAATCATGAATTCAAAGATTATTACAGATTTGTTGTTATTTTTACGTTATCAAAATATATATGTGCTAAAGAAGATGAATGAATAAAACAGTTAAAAAACAATGGCTGGTATGTTTTCACTCAGCTGTAGGGTCAGTGTGTGAGTCCAGCCACACGGTGGCGCTGCTGCTCTCTGAGTCAATCCTTAGACTCCCTTCATGTTCCTGTTGGTGTTAAACTCTAACCTCTTATTCTTTTTACCCTTTTTTTACCACCCAACAGTTTTGAGCTTTTCTTAAGATAATAACTTTATTTGAGATAATGAGAAAAATAATCATGAATGAAAGACAACAATAAATCTCTGGAATGTTGTTATTGTTACGATATCGAACAATATCTGTGCTAAATAAGGCTAATCAATAATAATTAGAGAAAAGGGTGAAAAACATTTGAAATCTGATGTTTTGATGCAGCTTCTTTAAACTGAAGCACTTTCTAGCTCCTAATGAATTATAACTTTAAAGTGAAATGATTACTATTATATATTATGAGAGGCCTGTCAGGCGTCTCTGGGGTTACCCCCCATTTTCTCCCACATTTACCTTCATAAGCGCAGGTGAGCTCCAGGTAAAGCACTTAAAAGTGTTAAGCTAGACATTAAATAAAACTAGCTTTAAAGTTTAACGTTTAACAATTGTTTTTTCATCCTCAAACATGAATCTACAAAATAAAAAACATCCCACTTCCATGTTATGGTCTGTTAGCAGCGATGCTAAGCTAAACACGACAGAAGACAGGAAGGTGTTTTAAACACATCTGTTTAATGTTGAGAGTCATGTGACAGCTGCTGGCAGTGCCCCCCCCCCCCACGTTAACTCCTAATGCAGCAGCTTCACTTAAATACACACATCCCATAATAACACACATATCTGAGAGGAGCTGCAGGAGTCCGGAGGAACAGGAATGTTTGAGTCTGACGACGGCCACGAGCAAACCACAGACCCCAGGTGAGCCTCAGGTGAACAGGAAGTGGTGCGTATCGACCAACAGGTAAACAGGAAGTGGCCAACAGATAAACAAGTAAACAGGAAGTGGCACGTTTGGACGCCTGTGCACAGGTGTGACTGTCTATTGGTCGATCAGGAACCTGTTAAAGTGAAGTCCTGAGGTCTTATAACTTCTATGATCCGGTTCATTACGTTTGTTCTGGACGTCAGAGCAATGTTTAGAACTGCAGCAGTTAAAACATTTATTGCTTATACATTTTTTATTTTGAGCACAAAACTTAATTTCCTGTGTTTACACATTCCCCTAACGCAGGGGGGTCAAACTCAGGGCCGCGGGCCGGACTTCACTTTCTGTGGCCCCGCAAGAGCTCTGAAAGAATATAATACGTTTATATATATATATATATATATATATATGCCGCTTTACAGAAGCACGTTTCCCATAAACTACATGTCCCACAATGCATCTTATTATGTGACGTGCGCACTGAAGAGACTTGAAATTATTTGCCCCAGACTTCTGCTTTCAGATGTAGTTAATGATGAAGTTATCACCCTATCAGATAATAATCCAATGCAAAGGCAATCATGTAATATAAAACATTATTTTATATATTATATATGTATATTCATGAAGTCTTAAAGTTACAACCGGCCCTTTGAGTGCAACCATAATGCTAATGTGGCCCGCCATAAAATTCAGTTTGACCCCCCTGCCCTAACGTAATGTATGGAGATATATATACTCCTCAGAGTGTAAATCAAACGATGTGTCTGTGGTCCTGCAGCCTGTACGGTGAACCGGTACCTGAACCCCCTCGTTACCGCTGGTCTGTGGTCTGGCGGGCCGTCCCAGGTGTGTGTTCTGAGCGTCTCAGATAGAAAACAGAGGGTAGAAAACACTCAGCAGGAGTGTGTGATCTGCAGGTTGTAACACTCAACGCCCGCCCATTAATGTCCCAGTGTTAGCGGGGCGTCGAGTTAGCACCATGTGATTCTGCAGGCGGGCCTCAGTGGACAGGAACCAGAACCAGAACCAGTCGTGGTCAGCAGAGCAATCACACATTAAAGATTTATTTATATATATATATATATATATATATGTTTTCTATTCAACACCATACCCACTTTCATTTATATTTACTGAAACCATCTGCTGTTAGCTTAAAAAATATCTTTAGCAACACAAAGCAAAAAACAGACGTCATATTAATCTGTTGGGATCAACGATGGCACAGCGACCCTCTCTGCTCTTTAGTTTAAACACTTTAGCATCATGCTAACACGAACATCACGAGAAGCATCGAACTGAGTCGAACATGCCGAAGAAGAGACAGACAGAAACCAGAGTTTACACAACGCAACGGAGAACAGTCATTCATCTGAAGACCGGTCGTTCATCTGAAGACCGGTCGTTCATCTGAAGACCGGTCGTTCATCTGACGACCGGTCGTTCATCTGAAGACCGGTCGTTCATCTGAAGACCGGTCGTTCATCTGAAGACCGGTCGTTCATCTGACGACCGGTCGTTCATCTGAAGACCGGTCGTTCATCTGACGACCGGTCGTTCATCTGAAGACCGGTCGTTCATCTGAAGACCGGTCGTTCATCTGAAGACCGGTCGTTCATCTGACGACCGGTCGTTCATCTGAAGACCGGTCGTTCATCTGACGACCGGTCGTTCATCTGAAGACCGGTCGTTCATCTGACGACCGGTCGTTCATCTGAAGACCGGTCGTTCATCTGAAGACCGGTCGTTCATCTGAAGACCGGTCGTTCATCTGACGACCGGTCGTTCATCTGAAGACCGGTCGTTCATCTGACGACCGGTCGTTCATCTGAAGACCGGTCGTTCATCTGAAGACCGGTCGTTCATCTGAAGACCGGTCGTTCATCTGACGACCGGTCGTTCATCTGAAGACCGGTCGTTCATCTGAAGACCGGTCGTTCATCTGAAGACCGGTCGTTCATCTGATGACCGGTCGTTCATCTGAAGACCGGTCGTTCATCTGATGACCGGTCGTCAGATGAACGACCGGTCTTCAGATGAACGACCGGTCGTTCATCTGACGACCGGTCGTTCATCTGAAGACCGGTCATCAGAACCAGCACCAGGAACTGGACCTGTTGGAATTCCTATCCTGGACTTTTATCCTAATCTGAATCCTGATCTCCAACAGATTGTGGAATACACGGTATGTGGAGTGTCGTGACGTCATTTGGAAATCTGCACCAAAACCAGTACAATCGTCACGTTTTCAGGGTAAAACTCTAAACAAACCGTACGTTATTGTCGTTAGCATACTGGATTTGTTAGGAAAGCCATATTTCCCGCTCTAGTAACTATCAGATTTGCTCAATAAAGGGCCTATGACTAATTCTTACCAGAAAGAGCTTGAACGCAACAGAATGTAACTCAATGCAACGCCTGTTTAACATATGCAGCTCAACACCTTAAAGCTAACAGCTAAAAGGCTAACAGCTAATGAGCTAGCTCTTCTGGCAGGTTTCAACACAAACAGCGTAACTAGGATCAAAGAGTTCCCTGTCTCCCAAACACATCTGTTATCGTCACGTTTCAGACTCTTCCAGAATCCAGAATTGAAGTTGAGGTTATTGGGTTAGCGGATGTTTAGCTTTAGTTTCTGGTTGCGATGAATGACTGGTCTCCGGTCTCCGCCCCCTACAGAAACATTCCCCATCTTCTTATAAAATGCCTTCCCACACTGATGGATGCAACAGATCAGCGATGAAGGAACTTGATATCGAAGCGATGCATAAAAGCACTAATTCTTTTTTTTGGTTTGCCACCGATACATGAACGACACGAGCTAGCAGCTACGCTAATCAACATCTACAGCGAGCTCAAACACAAGAGGACACCACCGTAGAACAGTAGTTGGTCTTTTTTTCATCAAAATAAGATATTTAAAGTATACTTTCATATATAAGCAATACAAAAGAAGTAACACCTCAATACTCAGATAACTCTTACATTAATGTTGTGCTCATTTCTATTTCTTTACAGATACTATTTATATACTGAGACCTCATGATGAGAGATGGGAGAGTGGAAGGCAATCAGTGGTGATGAGGATGAGGCAGACGGCTAGCACCACAGAGAGAACGTCTACTGCAGAACCTCAGGAGGGAACGTCTCCTGCAGAACCTCGGGAGGGAACGTCTACTGCAGAACCTCAGGAGGGAAGATCTACTGCAGAACCTCAGGAGGGAAGATCTACTGCAGAACCTCAGGAGGGAAGATCTACTGCAGAACCTCAGGAGGGAACGTCTACTGCAGAACCTCAGGAGGGAAGATCTACTGCAGAACCTCAGGAGGGAAGATCTACTGCAGAACCTCAGGAGGGAACGTCTACTGCAGAACCTCAGGAGGGAACGTCTCCTGCAGAACCTCAGGAGGGAACGTCTCCTGCAGAACCTCAGGAGGGAAGATCTACTGCAGAACCTCAGGAGAAAAGATCTACTGCAGAACCTCAGGAGAAAAGATCTACTGCAGAACCTCAGGAGGGAAGATCTACTGCAGAACCTCAGGAGGGAAGATCTACTGCAGAACCTCAGGAGGGAAGATCTACTGCAGAACCTCAGGAGAAAAGATCTACTGCAGAACCTCAGGAGGGAAGATCTACTGCAGAACCTCAGGAGGGAAGATCTACTGCAGAACCTCAGGAGGGAAGATCTACTGCAGAACCTCAGGAGGGAAGATCTACTGCAGAACCTCAGGAGGGAAGATCTACTGCAGAACCTCAGGAGGGAAGATCTACTGCAGAACCTCAGGAGGGAAGATCTACTGCAGAACCTCAGGAGGGAAGATCTACTGCAGAACCTCAGGAGGGAAGATCTACTGCAGAACCTCAGGAGAGAAGATCTACTGCAGAACCTCAGGAGGGAAGATCTACTGCAGAACCTCAGGTAAGTCAATTCATCCCAGAACTTCAGGAGGGACTATCCGATGAAGAACTTTAGGAGGGGTCGTCTGATGAAGAACCTGAGGTGGAACCATCCGAATGAGGAACTGCAGGAGGGACAAGCAGAAAGTTGGTGGACTCTGTAAGGACTGTGCACTCCGGACCATCATGAGGTCAGATCCACTCCGGATGTTAAGGAATGGGTTGCCTCAGGAACAGTGCAGGGGACAATCCACTCCATGAGGTCCTGAAGAACGTCCAGGAGAGTATCCAGAGGTTCAGAGCTCCAGACCTTTGGGAACTGCAGCTTCAGGTGTTCAATGATCTGCTCCTGAAAACCAGCGAGGATGATCTGTGAATCCACTCCAGGAAGCACTTCAATGGAAACGTGAACTCTGATGAAACACTGAGCTGAAGGATGACGGACCGACAGACGGGACCCTGTTCAACACCGGAGGTCTTTCAGATACTGTCCTGGATCGAGATCCAGAGTCATTTTGGGCTTAGCGGCACAGACGTAGATTAGTTGTAGACAGGGCGGATCAGTTAGGTTCATGGTTGTAATCCAGAGTTAGGCTGTGAAAAACTATAATGGATGAAACCAGTTGAGTCCTGATCCACCAGTCTAAGGGTAGCTGGTGACGGCCACCTGTTTCTGGGCCAGGCGGCGCAGCTCCTCCCTGATGGCCTTAATGAGGGAGGCGGAGGTGTGGGCGGAGGGCGAGGCGTCCTCCGGCGGGTACTCCGGGGTCGGGGAGGTCAGGAGGAGAGGCGGCGCCGACGGGTCCCGCAACGAGGAGCTGGGCATCTGGAAAACTGAGGAGGAGGAAAACTCAGGAAACGACAAAACCTGTAGGGAGAGACCAGAAAATCAATCCAGATTAAAGGGGTCATTCGTTATGATCAACAAGGATCGGGGGTCACCAGGGACATGAGGTCAGTGGCGAGCCGTGAGCTTTATACCTAGGCCCTCTGACCCCCACCAATTCCCTCGAAAAAAAAAAAAAAAATAGTTATTACGTCACAGCGTATACTTCAGCGGAATATCAAAACAACGGCCCAGGGTGCAAAACGCATCAATGACAGCGACCCTCTACCACACAAAACAACACCTGTGAACCCAATTTGTGTTCTTTGACATTGAAAATGATATTGCATTGTGTTTGTTACTTTCGTTGCAGTTGTATGTCTTAAGTGTAATTTGGCATGCTTTTATTTTGAAGGCGAGTTCACGCTGTTGACAGGAAGTTGTTGTTGCTATGGAAACAAGAAAAGTTTCACAGCGGGCGGAACTTGTCATAAAGTCCGCGATAATAAAACCCACCCATTTAGAGGGAAGATATGATTGGTCAATTGTACTGTCATTTGACATTACTCTCTCGTTCAGTTACTATAGCAACCCTCTGTGAATCGCAGAGAGGGCCAGACGAGCTTCTTTCATGTAACCCTTCACATTCAAACAGAGACTGAACAGGCAGATTCGAAGGATTTATTTATTTGGAAATGTTATTTTATTAAATCAAGTTTTTTTTCGGTAAAACTAATGAAAAATATAACAAAAATAATATTAAAAAAATATATATTTTAAAAAAAAATATATTTTTTTAATGTTTTTAAATATTATTTTTTGGAATATCTTAGGCCCTCACAGAGGGCCTAGAGGGCCCTGACGGCTCGCCACTGCATGAGGTAGATCTCCTGAGAGGTTTCTACTCACGCTCTCTCTGCTGGCTCCGGACCGGCTCAGGTCCTGGTCCGAGTGCTGCTGGTTCCAGCTGGACCCGGTGGGTCCGGACATGCTGCGACCGACCCCGGGGTACACTCCGATATGACTGGACAAACCCACCTGGGTCAGGTGGTGCAGCTGCGCACCTGCAGGACAACACATGGTACAGATTGAGCACCTCTAGTAGTCCACCTGCAGGAGAGACGTGAAGAGTCCGGATTACCTGTGCTTCCCCCTACAGGTCGCGGTCTGGACGAGGAGGGGGGGTCCTCGTACTGCCCCCTGCTGGAGTAAACAGAGTCCTGCTCTCCGGTGGAAACAAACCCTCCGGAGCTGAGGCCCTGCCTGGATAAAACACACAGGATGAGTTCTGGTTCCGGCCCGGCCTGCAGACCTGGACCTGGTGTTGTTGAGACTGACCTCTGCAGCAGGTTCTGCATCGACGTGGGAGACATGCCGAGCTCAGCGTACCTCTGAGGAGAGAACCACAAGATTCATGTGAAAACTAAACAAACAGAGACCATGACACCAACATGCTAATATTATCAGTATATTACCCCATCAGTACCCCTGACTGCTGGTCCTAGTGAGTCCATCCATCACTGCTCTACTTATACTACTACTAATACTACTACTTATACTACTACTAATACTTATACTTATACTACTACTTATACTACTACTTATACTACTACTTATACTACCACTTATACTACTACTTATACTACCACTTATACTACCACTTATACTACTATCTATACTACAGTTATCTACCACACTTCATTCTGTTATTCTATAAATACTTCTGCCTCTCCTAGTGAGTCCATCACTGTGACTCTTCTTACTACAGTTATCTACCACACTTACAACAATACACATGTATTATTATCATAAGACTCACCGCGGAGAAGGGGCTGTGTGGGGAGGCAGCGGAGTAGGGGGGTCGGGGGGAGGGTCCGCTTACCCCCCCGCTGCCCCCCGAGGACGGAGACACCAGAGCGAAGGCGTCGTCCAGCAGGCAGAGCATCTGCTGCCGGGCCTCCTCGATGGAGGGCTGGGGGGGCAGGTAGGGCGGGGGGGGGGGGCGCCGAGTCAAACACCTCGTCAGTGGGGGAGGGGCTGCCGTTGTCCGGGGGGAGATCCGGGTCCGACTGTGGGAGGGAGGGGAGACTCAGGGTGACATCAGGTACAACCATTACTGACAAGTGTTCGGGGAAACATCGGGAAACATGTGATATACTGAGGACCCTTTGACTCACCATGTAGGCCACGTTGTTGAGGCCCGGGTACTTCCTGTAGGTGGCGCTGTGGTCGGTGAGCAGCCGGTCTCTGTCGGTATCAGGAAGACTTCCAGGTCCGGGCTGAGACCTCCGACCCCGAGGAGAGCGCCTCCCCCTGGAGACAGAAAACTCATCAGGAGCGGGAAGAGAAAACTATCTAAAACATATGTGGAAAACATCGTTAATATGATGAGGGGTTTGTGCGACCCTGACCTCCGGTGGGAGTCGGTGGGCGTGTGGGGGGTGTCGGCCTGCAGGATGCAGTCCATGTGGTCGTGGGCGGAGCTATAGAGCCGCTGTGCCACCGCGCTCTGAACCGGACCCTCCCCGAAGGCGTCCATGATGTCGTCCATGGACGGGAAATCGCACTGGCCCCGCCTCTTGGCGCGCTGACGCAGCTTGTTGCGGTGGTGCTCGATTTCTGACTTGTGTCGCAGCGCCACCTAAAGGACAACAAGGTGTTAGAACAGATTCATATGATGGTTGGGGGGGGCACTGGTTTCTCTCACCTCTTGGCTGACCCTCTCGGTGAGGGAGGGGCTCAGGTGAGGCTGGGGGACACGCGGCTGCATGGCGATCAGCTGCACCTTGTTGTTGTTCTGACGCCTCGTCCCGTCAGACGAGCCGCGAGACAGACGGTCCACGTGATCGAAGATGGAGGACGAGGACAGCAGCTCGTCTGGAGCACTGCCTGGGGGACAAAGACACTTTAGAGTCAGGGGAATAAACAAACAATTCATACAAATATACGAGTTCCTGACGCTCCGAGGGGGATACACAAACTATTACTCTGATAAGTGCAATGTGTAAAAGAAAAAGTGCAAAATGTGAAAAAATATTGAAATGTCCCTTTTTTTTATTCCAAAAAGATGTGTAAATAATATGTAAATAATATTTTAAATAATATGTAAATAATATTTTAAATAATATGTAAATAATATTTAAAATAATATGTAAATAATATTTTAAATAATATGTAAATAATAGGTAATATCCAATAAATCTGTGAAAAATCTCCCAAATCTAATTGATATAATAGAAATTCATACAGACGTACCCATCTTGTGTCTCTGACCATTTTTGGGCGTCTTCCTGTGCTTCCCCTCGCTGGGCGTGGCCACGGCCCGCGTGCTCTCCTCTGCCGATTCCCTGCCGCTCGATTGGTCGCTGCCTAACGAGTCTCCGTCTGACGGGCTGAGCCTAACGAGGGACACCAATTAACGCCATGCTTTATGTTGGGAACATCCTGAATGTCCTCTTCCAACATGAGAGTAACATGATAACAAAGGTATCCCAACTGTAGCTGAGTTCATGACAGGAGGTCTGATTACCTAGAAGAGCATCAGGACTGTTTTAGGCATATGATAGCTACAGATGTAGCACTTCATTTCAGACGCCTACCCGTGCGGGTCCGTGATCTGCACGGGGTGGGCCCCTGCTGAAAAGGAAAACCCCCCGCAGGACTTGATACGCCCCCTTGATAAATACATTTAATTATAATGAAACCAGCTGCAATGCATCATGGATCCACCAGGGGGAGCAGTGACTACAAAGCTGCAATGCATCATGGATCCACCAGGGGGAGCAGTGACTACAAAGCTGCAATGCATCATGGATCCACCAGGGGGAGCAGTGACTAAAAAGCTGCAATGCATCATGGATCCACCAGGGGGAGCAGTGACTAAAAAGCTGCAATGCATCATGGATCCACCAGGGGGAGCAGTGACTAAAAAGCTGCAATGCATCATGGATCCACCAGGGGGAGCAGTGAGCTGCAATGCATCATGGATCCACCAGGGGGAGCAGTGACTAAAAAGCTGCAATGCATCATGGATCCACCAGGGGGAGCAGTGACTACAAAGCTGCAATGCATCATGGATCCACCAGGGGGAGCAGTGACTAAAAGCTGCAATGCATCATGGATCCACCAGGGGGAGCAGTGACTAAAAGCTGCAATGCATCATGGATCCACCAGGGGGAGCAGTGAGCTGCAATGCATCATGGATCCACCAGGGGGAGCAGTGATTAAAAAGCTGCAATGCATCATGGATCCACCAGGGGGAGCAGTGATTAAAAAGCTGCAATGCATCATGGATCCACCAGGGGGAGCAGTGATTAAAAAGCTGCAATGCATCATGGATCCACCAGGGGAAGCAGTGAGCTGCAATGCATCATGGATCCACCAGGGGGAGCAGTGATTAAAAAGCTGCAATGCATCATGGATCCACCAGGGGGAGCAGTGAGCTGCAATGCATCATGGATCCACCAGGGGGAGCAGTGAGCTGCAATGCATCATGGATCCACCAGGGGGAGCAGTGATTAAAAAGCTGCAATGCATCATGGATCCACCAGGGGGAGCAGTGAGCTGCAATGCATCATGGATCCACCAGGGGGAGCAGTGACTAAAAGCTGCCACACTGGAACTCATGTGAAATAAACAGCTGATCGATCTACAGGAATCTGATATAGCGGATCTTTGTTCAGATCCATATGTCACGGATAGGATCATATTCTGTGCTAAATAAGAGACATGTAATCATTTACAAAACATCACCATGTTTTTATTTAACAAAATAATGTTGTTTAATCCACGTTGGCGTAAGTACAAAACCATCGCTATGTTTTTTTGTCAGGAAATGCAGCCCGGCTCAAACAAACGATTTGTAATCATCATCCTCACGATCAGTATCATATGTTCGCCGAATTGAAATGAAAGCACTAATAAATGTGGTTTAATCCACGTGAGTTTACAACTACAAAAATAATCGGTTTGTTTTTATATCACATCCGACCGGAGGAAAATGCAGCACGGCTCTCACTACCGATAATCCTAACCCCACGGGCAAACACTATGTACAGTGTTAATAGTTCACTGTATTATTACTGTCTCATATTACTGCTATAACAATCACACATTGAGTTGTTCAAATCAGACCGTTGTTTTTTTTTAAACAGTCTGAATGAAACGGCAGCTCTCAGGTGATCATATATCATCAGCTGCTCTGCTCACTCCTTTCCTGTCAATTAAACTATACAGTTGTTCATCACTATAATAATAAGGACATTATTCAAAAGCTTACATTAACTTTGGATAATAACACGGGAGAAACGGATCCTCTCTCTCTCTCTCTCTCTCTCTCTCTCTCTCTCTCTCTCTCTCTCGCTCTCTCTCTCTCTCTCTCTCTCTCTCTCTCTCTCTCTCTCTCTCTCTCTCTCTCTCTCCTCTATCTCTCTCTCTCTCTCTCTCTCTCTCTCTCTCTCTCTCTCTCTCTCTCTCCCAGCCCGTCAGTTTCTCATGCAGCTCGCCAAACAGTGGGCGGAAATAATAATAATATGAATTATTTCACACAAAAAGGTTATGACAATGTATGACTATTGACGTACAAATAACACTGTCTGTCAATTGTGTAAAATAAGAGGATTAGATTACAACTTGTATTTAGAAATACTCTGTTGTAATTATTGATGCATAAATGTGTTCATCCATTCAATGTGGCATCTGCTATAATGGAGTTAATGTATGATATTACTTCATAATACAATACACTATATCATATATGATATGATAATTACATTTTAATTTGATTCATTTCTTATTTCATAGTTTCTCATCATTATTATAACAGTTCTGTTTCATATGAGTGTTGAGAGCGGTATCCATAAATCTCTTCATTTTGCCCTCAAAGTGCACCAGATTGATGTTTTCATTACATGAATTAAGGTGACTGAGGCTTTTTAACATAGACTTTTCAGTGTCCCACATTTTGCACAGAACTGTCCCACATTAGGAAATGCAGATTGTCTGAGACAACTTGGCACTAAGAGTACTGACATGTCTACCATTTCTTTTCTGAGTGTAATATCTGCATTTTCTCTTTTGGTTTGATTAGGACACATCCTGGGGATTGTGTTTACAAACGTTGACCATACCCTTCACCAGCCCCCACCCCCCTACTGTATGTTGACTTTACTGTATGTTGATTTTTGACTTTGTTTAGAGCAGTGAATTCTCTTCCTCTCTGCAGCAGAGAGCTAAGCGCTGTCAGACCGGACCTGACCCTGACCCTGAAAAGTATTATCATCTGAAATTAATCATTATGTTATTAGTATTAAATACATATAAGTATTTTTACAACTTGTATTTAGAAATACTCTGTTGTAATTATTGATGCATAAATGTGTTCATCCATTCAATGTGGCATCTGCTATAATGGGGTTAATGTATGATATTACTTCATAATACAATACACTATATCATATATGATATGATAATTACATTTGAATTTGATTCATTTCTCATTTCATAGTTTCTCATTATTATAACTTTTATCGCTGATCTTATTTTTGATTTTATTAACCTGTTAAGCACCAAGCCTGTTTTTCATGTTTCAGGCTCGAAAATGACATGCCCAAAACAAATGACTACAACTTAACTTCTAAAAGGGTTATATGAATAATTTCTTTTCTCAAAGTAATGATAAACCTGTGAGTTGGATGTAGAAGTGTCAGAATCAATATAGATGTTTTTTATTTTAAAGAAAATTCAGATTTTACATAGTAAAAAACTGTAAATTATAGTGTCCGTCCAAATATTCTTTTTTACTTATAGTGAAAACTACCCTTGGATGATGGGTTAGTAGACTAAAAGCTTTAGGAATCCAAAGTACAACATATAAGTACCCTGTATCAAGATTGATGCAAAACAAGTGACATTTGACCTTTTTAGAGAGGTTTAGCCAAAACCCCCCCACCTCTGAGGTGATTTGGGTGAAAATGGGTTTTTTTCTCTATCTCTGGCCCCCCTTGGTCGATTTTGATGGTTGACACCTCTTTCTGACCGTTAGAGCCAATAGAATCGAAGGGGGAGTCCCCCACACACACTCGTTGTGAAGAGAAAAGGTGGGGGCTGCGCGCATGTAAATGTGCAGCAGAGTGAAGCGATCTCTAGCTCTGACATTTGGAAACGGAAAAGCAGTTTTAATGCTTATGGATTATCAGAAATCATTTCAAAGAGGACACAGACACATTGGATTAACCTATGGATTAACTGCAGCATCGTTTTAAGGTAAGCCATGTTAGCGTTTCTAGCTACTTAGCTCCACATGTTATGATGTACGCTTTCGTTTATAGCGTCGCAAATGTTTATCACTGAGTGTTGAGGTGGGCACCAAACGATTCTGTGTCTCCAGTAGATGCAAAACGAGGGGTTGGCTGTGCATCTAGGATAAGTAATAAGGGAGTTATGAGTGAGTTTAGGTGCAGAGATAGGTTACATTTTTTCGCTCGTGGCTAATTCAGAGGCTGAGTGTTAGCATTGTGGGTTTTTTTTGGAAAAAAAATTAAAAAGATCAGTTAGCTGAGTTTCTTCCCGTTACATGGATATAAAACATTCATAGTTTATTAAATATTAAGATTCCTTAGACGTTGTTTCCTGCAAATGACGTGTTTATCCGCCCGGTACCGGGGGGGGCCGTGCGTAACAGGTTCATCTGTGTGAATCTGTGCTGTTTTTCACTCTCACCCTGTTGCTGTTTGAACTACTGCATGTCCCCACGGGGGTTAAAGGTCGTCTCATCTGTTGCTGTTTGAACTACTGCATGTCCCCACGGGGGTTAAAGGTCGTCTCATCTGTTGCTGTTTGAACTACTGCATGTCCCCACGGGGGTTAAAGGTCGTCTCATCTGTTGCTGTTTGAACTACTGCATGTCCCCACGGGGGTTAAAGGTCGTCTCATCTGTTGCTGTTTGAACTACTGCATGTCCCCACAGGGGTTAAAGGTCGTCTCATCTGTTGCTGTTTGAACTACTGCATGTCCCCACAGGGGTTAAAGGTCATACTAAAGATACAGAAACTAAAGGTCGTCTCATCTTAATGTATAAGTTGATTTACTTTGATCTACTGTACTGTCAAAGAATATACTGCATAAAGCAAACTATTGTAAAGGAATGAGCAACAAGTGTAAACATTTACATTATTATGATTATTTAATATATAAAGACTATATATTATTGAATTACAATTAAGATAATAAGATTAGATATACTTTATTTGATCTAAAATATTGATGTTTTTCCGTTATAGCAGCCTGTGAAAACCATAACAAAGAAGTGATGAGATGCTCTCCAGCAACACACCTGCAGAGCTGCTCTTCAGCAACACACCTGCAGAGCTGCTCTTCAGCAACACACCTGCAGAGCTGCTCTTCAGCAACACACCTGCAGAGCTGCTCTTCAGCAACACACCTGCAGAGCTGCTCTTCAGCAACACACCTGCAGAGCTGCTCTTCAGCAACACACCTGCAGAGCTGCTCTTCAGCAACACACCTGCAGAGCTGCTCTTCAGCAACACACTGCAGAGCTGCTCTTCCAGCAACACACCTGCAGAGCTGCTCTCCAGCAACACACCTGCAGAGCTGCTCTCCAGCAACACACCTGCAGAGCTGCTCTTCAGCAACACACCTGCAGAGCTGCTCTTCAGCAACACACCTGCAGAGCTGCTCTTCAGCAACACACCTGCAGAGCTGCTCTTCAGCAACACACCTGCAGAGCTGCTCTTCAGCAACACACCTGCAGAGCTGCTCTTCAGCAACACACCTGCAGAGCTGCTCTTCCGCAACACACCTGCAGCGGCTCTTCAGCAACACACCTGCAGAGCTGCTCTTCAGCAACACACCTGCAGAGCTGCTCTTCAGCAACACACCTGCAGAGCTGCTCTTCAGCAACCACACCCTGCAGAGCTGCTCTTCAGCAACACACCTGCAGAGCTGCTCTTCAGCAACACACCTGCAGAGCTGCTCTTCAGCAAACACACCTGCAGAGCTGCTCTTCAGCAACACACCTGCAGAGCTGCTCTTCAGCAACACACCTGCAGAGCTGCTCTTCAGCAACACACCTGCAGAGCTGCCACACTGCAGACTAAGTTCTACAACACCCAGTTGTCTTTGTGTCTTTGTGAATGAAGCGCCATCTCATGGTTAAATCCTGTAATTGAACAAATGGGGAAATTTGGCAACGCCCCCAGCCACTGGGATCCGCTGGGTTTTTGGTTGGGACACACCCATTGGAGTCCTATCTGGAGTGCTACATCTGTATGTGATTAACATGATGATTCAGCCTCTATGGAGATACACATATGACAAGCATGCTCATTTCTGACGTGGAGCTAATCTGAAGTAAACATTGAATACTGCTTTCTATTCCTCCATCTTGTGACTGTGTAACTCCCTCTCTTGGATATCAGCATGTGAAGGACACTGTTCAGGAACTAGTTGATGCTCTGTATGTGATGACTCCTTCCATTCTGGAGAGGATCACAGATACATGGATCCTGAGATTGAAGATCAAGCCGGGGACCAGGGATTATTAAAATTTTTAAGATTTTGAGAAAAAGTCAGAATTTGGTCATTTTGAGAAAAAGTCAGAATTTGGTCATTTTGAGAAAAAGTCAGAACTTTTAGAAAAATTCAGATTTTTTTTTTAGATTTTTAGAAAAAGTCAAATTTTTTAGATGTTTAGAAAAAGTCAACTTTTTTGAGATTTTGAGAAAAAGACAGAATTTTGAGATTTTTGAGAAAAAGTCAACATTTTGAGGAAAAAGTCAGAATGTTGAGATTTTTGAGAAAAAGTCAACATTTTGAGGAAAAAGTAAAAAATGTTGAGATTTTTGAGAAAAAGTCAATTTTTTTGAGAAAAAGTCAATTTTTTGGAGAAAAAAATAGAAAAAGTAAAAAAAAAATGAAAAAGTGAAAATGCTGAGATTTTTGAGAAAAAGTCAAAATGTTGCGATTTTTGAGAAAAAGTCAATTTATTGAGTCTTGTGACTGTGTAACTCCCTCTCTTGGAACTCAGCATTTTGTACATGACAGGATGTATGATTACAAGAACCGGTATTCCTCCATCTTGTGACTGTGTAACTCCCTCTCTTGGATATCAGCATGTGAAGGACACTGTTCAGGAACTAGTTGATGCTCTGTATGTGATGACTCCTTCCATTCTGGAGAGGATCACAGATACATGGATCCTGAGATTGAAGCTCAAGCTGGAGACCAGGGAGAGTTTTCTAACACTCTATAACTCTGTTCTGCAGAACCTGAAGGTAACGTACCGGCCCCGGCGGCGGCTGGACCGCGGCACCTTGGTGGACGACCCTTTAGATTTGGGGGTGTTGAGGTCGCCTCCGTCAGAGGGCGTGGCCTCTTTGGTGGGGGGGGGCGGGCCGGGCTCCTGGATCACCATGATGTCATCCTTACTGTGCTGACCCAGGTGCAGCTTCGCAAAGTCAAAGCCTTTCACGCTGGGGGCCTGAAGCTGGGGGGGAACAGCTGTTAGTGAGGACCCCAGGAAGCAAAGAGTCAAAGGTTTTATTGTCACATGCAGATATCTAGAGAAATGGCAATGAAATTCTTCTGACCTGAGCTCCTCCATAAATTCAATATATATAATAAAATTAAAAAATTAAAATAAGCAAGAAGTCTATATACATGTGAATAGAATATGATTTTTACAAGAACAGAAAATGAAATGAAATAATTTACATTAAGACAAAATTAAATACGGTTTATTGCGGTGATAACTATTTATATAAATAAGTAGATACAAACGGATGAATGTTTATGGATGTGCTTCACAGAGTTCAGGTGTTTAGCAGTCTTATGGCCTGTGGGATGAAACTGTCTCTGGTGCTTTTAGACCTGATGCTGCGGGACAAGAACATTTTGTTGCTGGGCTGATGGGGGTCTTTTATAATCCTGAGGGCTTTCTTCTCTTATAATCAGGTAACCCCCCCCTCACCTTCTGCCTCTGCTGGATGGTGTTGATGGCGTCCGGCTGGAACTCGAGCTTCTCGGAGCCGCAGAGCTTCCAGTAGAGCAGGACGATGATGAAGAGCGCCAGCAGCACCGGGACCAGAACCCCCACGATCAGCCAGACGCTGGAGGACTGGGTCTCTGCCGGGGGGGGGCGACAGCAGCTCCACCGCTGGGGGACACAAGTTCATCTTCAGGGTTATGAAAATGCATACAAAAATATCCAAAGAAATAAAAAGATATCCAAAGAAATTTGCAAAATATTAAAGAAATAACAAAAAATATCGAAAGATAATATGTGGAAAATATCTTAGGAATGTAAAATAACTGAATTTCTTTTTTTCTTTCATTTGAAAAACATCCCAAAAATATATTTTAAAAAAGGTGAAAAACATTTGGGGAAAATAATGTTTCAGTTAAATTGGAGAGTATTGTGTTTCCTCACGCTGAGCCAGGGGTCTCTGGACGCGGTGCCCCAGCACGATGGCAGCTCTCTGCAGGTCCAGCCGGTTCAGGGTCAGCGAGGTGGTCTCAGCCGGGACCCGGTCCCCACCTGGACCCTCCACGAAGTAAAACACCTCCAGGGGGCGCTGCGGCCCCGAGAGCAGCGACACCCGCACCACCTGGCACAAAGATTATATACTTGGGTACTACATGTACCTGTACACATAAACCTGTATACTATATGTCCCTGTATACATACACCTGTATACCCCTGTGTTACCTGCAGGCTGCTGTTCCCCGCGGCGCTCGCCCTCCTCCAGCGCCCCCTGCTGGGCACCTGCTGACTCTCCTCCAGCAGCAGAGCCAGGCGCCGCTCCAGACGGGCTTTAAAGCTGCGCTCGGACACCGTCTGCTCCTGCACGCCCAGCAGCACTGACACACACACACACACACACACACACACACACACACACACACACACACACACACACACACACACACACACACACACACACACACACACACACACACACACACACACACACACACACACACACACACACACACACACGTCACATGGTACAGAACACCTGCTCCACACGTCACATGGTACAGAACACCTGCTCCACACGTCACATGGTACAGAACACCTGCTCCACACGTCACATGGTACAGAACACCTGCTCCACACGTCACATGGTACAGAACACCTGCTCGAACTCACCTGTCCGGACCCAGGTGGAGCGCAGGTGGTGAGACGTGTTCAGCTCGGGGTAATGGAACGCTGTGGACACATTTCAGACATTCAATAAACATGGAGCTGATAGCTTAGCATTGTTAGTGTGTGTGTGTGTGTGTGTGTGTGTGTGTGTGTGTGTGTGTGTGTCGTACGCTCAGCGATCTGCAGCGCCGGGAACCCGATGTAGAAGCTGAACTCCACCGGGCTGAGCTTCCTCAGGTGTTCGCTGACCTCCGACCCCAGCAGGAAGCCCCGCCCATCTCGCACCGCAAACGTGATGTCGACAGAAACCTTCGCCGCCGCGGGCCGAGAGACGGCCGTCGTGATGTTCAGCAGCTGGAGACACAGAGGTAGATCAGGTTAGTATAGCAGCCTCACCTGTACAGAGCCTCACCTGTACAGAGCCTCACCTGTACAGGGCCTCACCTGTACGGAGCCTCACCTGTACAGGGCCTCACCTGTACAGAGCCTCACCTGTACAGGGCCTCACCTGTACGGAGCCTCACCTGTACGGGGCCTCACCTGTACAGGGCCTCACCTGTACAGAGCCTCACCTGTACAGGGCCTCACCTGTACAGAGCCTCACCTGTACAGGGCCTCACCTGTACGGAGCCTCACCTGTACAGGGCCTCACCTGTACGGAGCCTCACCTGTACAGGGCCTCACCTGTACAGAGCCTCACCTGTACAGGGCCTCACCTGTACGGAGCCTCACCTGTACGGGGCCTCACCTGTACAGGGCCTCACCTGTACGGAGCCTCACCTGTACAGGGCCTCACCTGTACGGAGCCTCACCTGTACAGGGCCTCACCTGTACAGAGCCTCACCTGTACAGGGCCTCACCTGTACGGAGCCTCACCTGTACAAAGCTCACCTGTACAGAGCCTCACCTGTACGGAGCCTCACCTGTACGGGGCCTCACCAGTACGGAGATGTTTCCTCACCAGTACGGAGATGTTTCCTCACCAGTACGGAGATGTTTCCTCACCAGTACGGAGATGTTCCCTCACCTGTACGGAGATGTTTCCTCACCAGTACGGAGATGTTTCCTCACCTGTACGGAGATGTTTCCTCACCTGTACGGAGATGTTCCCTCACCTGTACGGAGATGTTCCCTCACCTGTACGGAGATGTTCCCTCACCTGTACGGAGATGTTCCCCGCCTCCTGGTGGCGCCGGCGGGTCTCGGTGTAGGCCAGAACCAGGCCTCTCTCGACCCTCTGGCTGAAGCTGCAGACCCGGACGTCCACGTGTTCGGGGACAAACTGCAGCACCGAGTGGACCTGGTACCGGAGGTCCGGCTCGCTGAACAGCGGCGCCACGGAGGGGACGGGTCCGGAGCCGCGGGGGGCCCGGCGGAGCGCCGAGACCACCGACACCGCCGTGAAGATCAGAGGCCCGGACACCACCCGGAAGGCAAAACTGGACGGGGTTCTGAGGAACTGAGAGAGGAGGCCAAAGATCAATGAACCAGTAACCCTAACGGAACAGAACCGGATCAAAGTGGACCTCTGAGGGTCAGCTGTTGGAGGACCAGGTTTACCTGCAGCTCCACGGAGCGATTGAACTCTCTCTTCAGAAGATCTCTGACGGCGCTGAAGCCTGATGAGGATCCTTTGGAGCTCACTGCAGGAAACAGAGAGAGGAAACTGAAACACTGCCAGAACCAGATCAGAATCAGAATCCCTTTTTCGTCCAGCAGGAAGTGGATTACTCACCGACTCGGACCAGGTACATCTCCGGCTTGGTGACGTTGCAGAGGTACTGCCTGGTGGGAGGGGTCACTCTGGGTGTGGTGACGGGGGGGGCTCTGGTTAGGCTGATGGCGGTGCTCTGGGTGGTTGTTGTCCCCTTGGTGGTTGTGGTCCCCCTGGTTGTTGTGGTTGTTGCCTTGGTGGTTGTGGGGGGCCCCTTCAGTGGTTTCTCAGTGACCGTGGGGGGTCTCTCTGGTCTGTCGGGGCGGGTGGGCGGTCCCAGCGGGGGGGGGGGGAGGCACCCGGCCCGTGGTGTTGGACGGGGGTCGAGGACGGGGTCTACCTGGAATCGAGGCTCTGTCTCTGGGTTGTGGAGCAGAAGTGGTTCTGACGGTGGTGATTGGTGGGTTCTCCTCAGGTGTGAAGGTGGGTGGGAGTGTGAGGGGAGGGGTGGGAGGAGAACCAGAGCTCAGAGTGGTGGGAGGGTGGGGGGTGAGGGTTGTAGTGGGAGCGATGGGGGAGTCCCGCCCCCTCTCCCTCTCCCTGGCCTGCAGGTTGGTGTAATACTCCAGGCTGTTCATGTCGGGCAGCAGCAGCTCCGTGGGCTCCAGGGGGGTCAGGTCCAGGTCGTAGTCCTCGTCCCAGGAGGGGAACAGGTCTGGGGGGGAGGGGCGGGTCTGCAGGGGGGCGGTGGGGGAGGAGGGGGAGAGGGGGAGGGTGGACCGGGACGGGAAGTCACTGTCGTAGGACACCCAGACCCCCCCATGGTGAGACATCTGTCAATCAAACATAAACGTAAACAGTGGGCTGAGATTGGTCAATCAAAGTAGACACGCCCAAAAAGCAGTTTTGTTGAATTCTGATTGGTTGAAGGATTAAAGAAACTTACTTTTGGGAAATACAGAACATTACATTTTGACTAAAAGTCAAAGTTTGGAAAAGACTCAGATTGTGTTTACACGAAATGTCTCTGAACTGACTGAGACTCACCTGGTCCTGGTCCTCGGGGTGGGGGCTGGATAGCTCCACCCCCTCCGGCACCATGAAGGACAGGGTCTCCAGGTAGTCCCCGGACCCCCAGGCCTCCTCCAGGGAGGGGCCGTGCTCCCAGGGCGGGGGGGGGGTGAGGGAGGGCTGGATGTGGGGGGGCAGGGGGGGCGGGAGGCTGGGGGACAGCAGGTCTGGAGGTCTCAGCAGGAGGTGGATCCCCTGAGCTCCAGAGTCCTGGTCCGAGGGGGGCGGAGAATCAAACGTCCGGTTCAAGTCCTGCATACCTGGGGGACAACATCATATTTATTATTTTTTTAGTCAATTTATTGAACATGTTAGAATCAAAACAAACAATAATAATTACAACAAAGAGAAGCTAAATTAAAAAATTAAAAAACGTTCAAGGTATAAAAGAATACAAAATAAATTCTCAAATAGTTTCCGTCATGTTGAAAAGGGGCGAGAAGAACGTTTCTGGTCCCTTAGCGTACATTGTTCATGAAAATAAAAGTTTAGGTCACATAATAGAGACTGAGACCCGATCCGAACTGAGACCTGAGACCTCTGATCCAGTTTGAAGTAACACCAGCGTACTGTCCCTTTAAGAGCCCCCCCCTGACACATTACCTGCGACAGGTGAGCTGGGTGTCACCATGGAAACCAGCGTGCCAGCCACCAGCAGCATCAGGCCCGCGGAGCAGGTTCTGGTTCTGGACCCCATGCTGGAGCCCGGGGGGGTCTCAGGGGCCAGCGGGGTCTGAAGCCACTGCAAGGGGAAATACACGTCAAGAAACACAACAAATAATAATAACAATAATAATTTAATTAAAATACAAAATGTTGATATACAACAGGAAGAACTTCAAAAGAAAACGCTGCACAGTGAGCAACAGGAAGGGAACCAGCGCACTGTCCCTTTAAGAGTCCTCCATACATACAGTATATATACATTACAACAGGAAGGGAACCAGCGCACTGTCCCTTTAAGAGTCCTCCATACATACAGTATATATACAGTACAACAGGAAGGGAACCAGCGCACTGTCCCTTTAAGAGTCCTCCATACATACAGTATATATACATTACAACAGGAAGGGAACCAGCGCACTGTCCCTTTAAGAGTCCTCCATACATACAGTATATATACATTACAACAGGAAGGGAACCAGCGCACTGTCCCTTTAAGAGTCCTCCATACATACAGTATATATACAGTACAACAGGAAGGGAACCAGCGCACTGTCCCTTTAAGAGTCCTCCATACATACAGTATATATACATTACAACAGGAAGGGAACCAGCGCACTGTCCCTTTAAGAGTCCTCCATACATACAGTATATATACATTACAACAGGAAGGGAACCAGCGCACTGTCCCTTTAAGAGTCCTCCATACATACAGTATATATACATTACAACAGGAAGGGAACCAGCGCACTGTCCCTTTAAGAGTCCTCCATACATACAGTATATATACATTACAAATTAAGACACGAAAAAAGGAAATTACAAAATGAAAGACAGAGGACATTAAATTAAAAAAAATTAGCCAAAATGAAAGACAGAGATATGGAGGAGGAGGAGGAGGAGGAGGAAGACCCTCTGCAGCTGTGAGACCGTGAGAGGGGGTCACGTGGCTTCAGAGCCCCTCTACAGCCCCGTGACACCGGATCGGTTCCCCTTTAATCACTGCGGGGGTTCAATATCATTCATCTAGACCCTCACTGTTCCATCAGGTAAAGACTGGGCCCGGTTCCGCTCGGCCCTGCTCACACCTCCACACGCTGAGCCCATTATCGGACACACTCCCCCCCCCGGCCCCCCCTCACACACACCGGGCTTCACGCCTCTCTTCGCGCCATCACCGTGCAGAACATCCGGGCCTTAGACCCCGGTACCGATCAGAACATCCGGGCCTTTAGAGACCATCCGGTACCGATCAGAACCCGATGATCAGAGAGGGGAATAAAAAACCCTTAGAATAAAAACCGGACGAGGACCCGGATGATGCGGAGCCTCCCTCCTCTGCAGCCACACACACACACACACACACACACACACACACACACACACACACACACACACACACACACACACACACACACACACACACACACACACACACACACACACACACACACACACACACACACACACACACACACACACACACACACACACACACACACACACACACACACACACACACACACACACACACACACACACACACACACACACACACACACACACACACACACTAAAACACTAAAACACGCTGCTAATGACCCGGTTGTCCCGGTGCTGCGGACCTACCTGCTGCCATCCTGAGGAGCGGAGCGGGTTCCGGCGCGTCACGCCTCTCTGCAGCGGGAGGGAGGGGGGGGAGTGAATCATCTGCAGCCCCCCCTCCCTCACTGATCTGCAGCTCCTCCACAGGTCCTGATCGATCAGCTGATCCGGATCACTGTAGTCTGTCACCGTGCAGACCCTCAGGTTCAAGGCTGTTATTGTCATGTGAGCACACAGCAGCTAGTGGAGAGATCTCGGCTGCTCCAACAGAACACAACACAGATCAAGTCAATATCATAGAAACAGAATAGAGTAGAAACTGTGCAGTGTGTAAGTCATTGTGATATTGATGTGAGACACAGAGGAATGTTCTGGATGTTCTTCAGTCTGATGGAGGGACTCATTACAAACAACACATGATGATAATAATAATGATTCAAAATGATAATTGAAAAACGAAAACTTATTTTAAATAATATTATGATAATAAAAACCAATACAATAATAATAGTAATAATAATAATAGTAACTCTAATGAGTTTTAAAAAATAACAGTGACTCCTCTGTTAAAGGTTCCTGCTGCCTCTCTAGCGCCCCCTGCTGAGGATATAAAGCCTCAGCATCATGGAGTTATATCTCTGTTATTATTCAGTGTCAGTATTAATACTTTTATTTTGTAAATATGTTTGGTACGGTGAAAAGTGACAATAAAACATATAGTTATATATATGACTGTAAGAGGGGAAGGCGCTGATCCTCGGAGCAGAAACAACACACATTTGATTTTTGATCCAAACTGAAGTTTATTTGATATTTTTTAAAGAATATACTGGAACTGTAAAAGTCTTATTGCTATTAAAGAATAACTACTGCAGATATATAACAAGGAGATGAATATATAAATACGTGTTCCATCAAAAAAGATAAATATGTAACAGACGAGCGTCATTAATGAAACACCTGCAGCGAGGTGAGAGGAATCTACATCTTATAAAAACGTTATCTACCTTTTGGAAATGTCCCTATTTATTGTTGTTTTTTGCACAATTTTTTTATTAATTGAATGAATTAAAGGACTATATTTGTTGGTGTTGGCGTTGGCGTCTCCAAGGGACCAGGACCCTCTGAAAGGTGTTGGTTTCCTGCGACACGACGCCTCGTCCACCGGCGGCGCGTTGAGGAGGCGGGGATATAGAGTGGTGCAGTGACGAGTCCTAAAACCAGGAAGTGAGTCAGCATTTCTCCACTTCCTGTTCCCTGGTCTCAGAGCCAATGGGATCTCTCCATAGGATGTTTGAAGATATCTGAACTAAGGTCTGTGGTTGAGACACATTGAAGAGACGGATCACGTTTTGTTCTAGGACATTAAATCCATCAGCAGTGACCCCACTGGTGATTTCTGAAGAGTTGACGTGTCTGAAAAACGATGGTTGTTACCAAGTGGCTGAATAGGACTACAGAAGTCGTGGAGGACGTTGTGCGTCATTACGCCGAACACGTTAACACTCCTCTAAGTCTGTTTGCCCTGTTCTGCTTGAAAGCAAGTACCTGCCTCCTGCAGACTGTTCAAACAAACGCTTCAACTCGTTCCATTTAGAATCTGTGTGTTTGAATATGGATCTGAAGTTGGCGTGACGTTGAAGTCGTGCTGCTGGACTCGCCTGTAGCTCCTTTATAGCATCACGTTAGCATTTAGCTTCTGGACATTAGATTTATGATTAGAACATTATAAAAGTAGAGACATGTGGAGATTATCCGGCTGAACTAAACATTTATCAAACAGGTTCCTTTTCCACAGATCTTATTTTCCTAAATCCTCTGGAGACATCCTGATGCTTTTTGTGGAGGGAACCAGCAGGTACTGGCAGGTCTATACTGGCAGGTCTATACTGGCAGGTCTATACTGGCAGGTCTATAATGTGATGGGACTAAGAACTGGTCCAGGTCCGGTCCCCCCTGACCTCCTGCAGCGGGGCATGGGTGGCGAGGCGAGGCCGACGCCGGACCCTCCTCTTGGTGTTCTGCTTCAGGTTCCTCTGGTACATGTCTATAACACAGAGAAGAGACAGGAAGAAGAGTTCTCTGGTTTCACTCTGGACCTGAAGCAGGAGTCCTTCCACCTGAACATTTCAGATTGTCTTCAAATTCTGACCTAACTTGTGGACGGCCTATCTGGACTTGGAACTTCATTTTAGTGGTGACCCGGGACTTTATAGTCTTTACTCGGGTCTTAGAACTAGAGGGTCTCGACTCCCTCAGAACTCAGACCTGATCCAGGACTTGTTTTGAAACTCGAGGACTTGACCTGGGACTGGACTATGGGACCTTTCTGTTTCACCTTGGGGGTTTCCTTTCCTGACCTGGGACCTGTCTTTACTCAGGTCTTGGTTCGGTTGTTGTTTGTCTTGACATGGGACTAGATTTTGGGACCTTCCCGTCTTTGATTTTGACTTGGGACCTCTTTAGGAAGTGACTTGGATTTTACCTTTCAGGATTTAGGACTAGATTAGGGATCGACCCATCTACACTCAGGTCTGGAGTCCCTCATAACTGAGACTTGATCTAGGACTTGTGTTGACTCTCGAGGACTTGACCTGGGACTGGACTATGGGACCTTTCTGTTTCACCTTGAGGGTTTCCTTTCCTGACTTGTTGTCTTTACTCAGGATTTGGTTTGGTTGTTGTTGGTCTTGATATGGGACTTGTCTAGGGACTGAGGAGGGGTCTTGTAGTTACTCGTCGTAAGACTTTTCAGGTCTTTGAACTGGACGATGGACTCACTTGATCTGGGGACTATCCTCTCTAGACTCTGGCTGGTCTTAGCACCTGACTGTTGATGCGACCTGTGGACCCTGACCCCCCTCTGAGTAAACAGGAAGTGGTACCTCTGAAGCTGAGGACGTACTCTCTGTTTCCCTTCACCACCTGGACCTCCGCTGAACTGTCCGACAGGAACTTCTCCTCCAGGGTCCTCGAGGTCTCCGAGGTGGTGCGCTGCTTTTCGTCCTGGACACACACACACACACACACACACACACACACACACACACACACACACACACACACACACACACACACACACACACACACACACACACACACACACACACACACACACCACACACACACACACACACACACACACACACCACACTACACACACACACGACACACAACACACACACACCACACACACAGCACACCCACACACCACACACATCAAGGGGATATATAACACACACACACACACACACACACACACACGCATTTAGGGTTTCACTTTCTCCTAGTTTCACAGCACACAAAACCATTCAAGGTATACAAAAAAATAAATACTAACACTACACCCTTGAGTATAAGTACATACTAACACTACACCCTTGAGTATAAGTACATACTAACACTACACCCTTGAGTATAAGTACGTACTAACACTACACCCTTGAGTATAAGTACATACTAACACTACACCCTTGAGTATAAGTACATACTAACACTACACCCTTGAGTATAAGTACGTACTAACACTACACCCTTGAGTATAAGTACGTACTAACACTACACCCTTGAGTATAAGTACATACTAACACTACACCCTTGAGTATAAGTACGTACTAACACTACACCCTTGAGTATAAGTACGTACTAACACTACACCCTTGAGTATAAGTACGTACTAACACTACACCCTTGAGTATAAGTACTGACGGTTAGTGGGACTCACCGGCTGTCCGTACTCCACCCAGCCCCCCCGCTCTCCCTTGTAGAACCACAGCCAATCGGTGGTCAGGGTGTAGTGCGGAGGCTTGGTGACGGAAGAGACCGTGGAGAGCCGGCGGACGGACTGAGAGCCGCGGATCATCAGCAGGAAGTCAACGGGGGGGCAGCTGAGGCTGGAGACAGAGAGCGGGTTAGGGGGGACACTGATCCATCACAGCCGTGACCTCTGACCTCTGAGCCCTGACCCCTGACCTCTGAGCGTTAGCCGGGTCGCAGTAGTCCCTCTCGACGTCCTCCATGTCCTGCAGGTCCGTCCAGGTGCGTCCATCAGAAACCTGCCACCTGTAGGGCAGCAGGAAGTGGACCCGCCGACACCCGTCTGCACAGAGAGGGATACACACAGCTGATCTTCATCACCTTCATCATCTTCATCACCTTCTCTACCTTTATCAGGTAACGAGGAAGGTGAAGGTGATGAAGGTGAAGATGACGAAGGTGATGAAGGGGATGAAGGTGAGGGTGATGAAGGTGATGATGAAGATGAAGGTGAACTCACTCTGGAACCTGCACCTGTTCCTGATGAAGTGCAGACAGATCTCCGTCCTCTCGCGCGTCTCTCCTCCAAAACAAACGTCTGGAAGTTTCTCTGACGACACAAACAGGAAGTCAACAGAACACTCAACTGAGTACCTGAGAGGTGTGTGTTCAGGTGTGTGTAGGTGTGTGTTCAGGTGTGTGTTCAGGTGTGTGTAGGTGTGTGTTCAGGTGTGTGTAGGTGTGTGTTCAGGTGTGTGTAGGTGTGTGTTCAGGTGTGTGTTCAGGTGTGTGTAGGTGTGTGTTCAGGTGTGTGTAGGTGTGTGTTCAGGTGTGTGTGCAGGTGTGTGTTCAGGTGTGTGTTCAGGTGTGTGTAGGTGTGTGTTCAGGTGTGTGTAGGTGTGTGTTCAGGTGTGTGTAGGTGTGTGTTCAGGTGTGTGTTCAGGTGTGTGTTCAGGTGTGTGTTCAGGTGTGTGTAGGTGTGTGTTCAGGTGTGTGTTCAGGTGTGTGTAGGTGTGTGTAGGTGTGTGTTCAGGTGTGTGTTCAGGTGTGTGTTCAGGTGTGTGTTCAGGTGTGTGTAGGTGTGTGTTCAGGTGTGTGTTCAGGTGTGTGTTCAGGTGTGTGTTCAGGTGTGTGTTCAGGTGTGTGTAGGTGTGTGTTCAGGTGTGTGTAGGTGTGTGTTCAGGTGTGTGTTCAGGTGTGTGTAGGTGTGTGTTCAGGTGTGTGTAGGTGTGTGTAGGTGTGTGTTCAGGTGTGTGTTCAGGTGTGTGTAGGTGTGTGTTCAGGGTGTGTTCAGGTGTGTGTAGGTGTGTGTTCAGGTGTGTGTAGGTGTGTGTTCAGGTGTGTGTAGGTGTGTGTTCAGGTGTGTGTTCAGGTGTGTGTTCAGGTGTGTGTGTGTTCAGGTGTGTGTTCAGGGTGTGTAGGTGTGTCAGGTGTGTGTAGGTGTGTGTTCAGGTGTGTGTAGGTGTGTGTGTAGGTGTGTGTTCAGGTGTGTGTAGGTGTGTGTTCAGGTGTGTGTTCAGGTGTGTGTTCAGGTGTGTGTAGGTGTGTGTTCAGGTGTGTGTTCAGGTGTGTGTAGGTGTGTGTTCAGGTGTGAGTGTGTTCAGTGTGTAGGTGTGTGTTAGGTGTGTGTAGGTGTGTGTCAGGTGTGTGTAGGTGTGTGTTTCATGGTGTGTGTGAGGGGTTGTGTTCAGGTGTGTGTGCAGGTGTGTGTTCAGGTGTGTGTTCAGGTGTGTGTAGGTGTGTGTTCAGGTGTGTGTAGGTGTGTGTTCAGGGTGTGAGGTGTGTGTCAGGTGTGTGTCAGGTGTGTGTTCAGGTGTGTGTTCAGGTGTGTGTAGGTGTGTGTTCAGGTGTGTGTGTTCAGGTGTGTGTTCAGGTGTGTGTGTTCAGGTGTGTGTGTAGGTGTGTGTTCAGGTGTGTGTTCAGGTGTGTGTTCAGGTGTGTGTAGGTGTGTGTTCAGGTGTGTGTAGGTGTGTGTTCAGGTGTGTGTAGGTGTGTGTTCAGGTGTGTGTAGGTGTGTGTTCAGGTGTGTGTGCAGGTGTGTGTTCAGGTGTGTGTAGGTTGTTGGTCAGGTGTGTGTAGGTGTGTGTTCAGGTGTGTGTTCAGGTGTGTGTTAGGTGTGTGTTCAGTGTGTGTAGGTTGTGTGTCAGGTGTGTGTAGGTGTGTGTTCAGGTGTGTGTAGTTGTGTGTTCAGGTGTGTGTAGGGGTGTGTAGGGTGTGTTCAGGTGTGTGTGCAGGTGTGTGTTCAGGTGTGTTCAGGTGTGTGTAGGTGTGTGTTCAGGTGTGTGTTCAGGTGTGTGTCGGTGTGTGTTCAGTGTGTGTTCAGGTGGTGAGGTGTGTTCAGGTGTGTGTGTTCAGGTGTGTGTAGGTGTGTGTTCAGGTGTGTGTAGGTGTGTGTGTTCAGGTGTGTGTAGGTGTGTTCAGGTGTGTGTTCAGGTGTGTGTAGGTGTGTGTGTTCAGGTGTGTGTAGGTGTGTGTTCAGGGTGGTCTGTGTGTGCAGGTGTGTGTTCAGGTGTTCAGGTGTGTGTTCAGGTGTGTGTAGTGTGTGTTCAGGTGTGTGTAGGTGTGGTGGTGTGGTTCAGGTGTGTGTTCAGGTGTGTGTTCAGGTGTGTGTTCAGGTGTGTGTAGGTGTGTGTTCAGGTGTGTGTTCAGGTGTGTGTAGGTGTGTGTAGGTGTGTGTTCAGGTGTGTGTTCAGGTGTGTGTAGGTGTGTGTTCAGGTGTGTGTTCAGGTGTGTGTAGGTGGTGTTCAGGTGTGTGTAGGTGTTGTGTTCAGGTGTGTGTAGGTGTGATGTTCAGGTGTGTGTTGCAGGTGTGTGTTAGGTTGTGTGTTCAGCGTGTGTGTTGCAGGTGTGTGTTCAGGTGTGTGTAGGTGTGTGTTCAGGTGGTGTAGGTGGGTGTTCAGGTGTGTGTTCAGGGTGTGTTCAGGTGTGTGTCAGGTGTGTTAGTGTAGGTGTGTGTTTCAGGTGTGTGTTAGGTGTGTGTTCAGGTGTGTGTAGGTGTGTGTTCAGGTGTGTCTGTGTGTGTTCAGGTGTGTGTTCAGGTGTGTGTTCAGGTGTGTCTGAGTGTGTTCAGGTGTGTCTGAGTGTGTTCAGGTGTGTGTTCAGGTGTGTCTGAGTGTGTTCAGGTGTGTGTTCAGGTGTGTGTTCAGGTGTGTGTAGGTGTGTGTTCAGGTGTGTGTTCAGGTGTGTGTGCAGGTGTGTGTTCAGGTGTGTGTAGGTGTGTGTAGGTGTGTGTTTAGGTGTGTGTTCAGGTGTGTGTTCAGGTGTGTGTAGGTGTGTGTTCAGGTGTGTGCAGGTGTGTGTTCAGGTGTGTGTTCAGGTGTGTGTAGGTGTGTGTTCAGGTGTGTGTTCAGGTGTGTGTAGGTGTGTGTTCAGGTGTGTGGAGGTGTGTGTTCAGGTGTGTGTTCAGGTGTGTGTTCAGGTGTGTGTAGGTGTGTGTTCAGGTGTGTGTAGGTGTGTGTTCAGGTGTGTGTTCAGGTGTGTGTTCAGGTGTGTGTGCAGGTGTGTGTTCAGGTGTGTGTTCAGGTGTGTGTATGTGTGTGTTCAGGTGTGTGTAGGTGTGTGTTCAGGTGTGTGTAGGTGTGTGTGTAGGTGTGTGTTCAGGTGTGTGTTCAGGTGTGTGTAGGTGTGTGTTCAGGTGTGTGTTCAGGTGTGTGTTCAGGTGTGTGTTCAGGTGTGTGTTCAGGTGTGTGTTCAGGTGTGTATAGGTGTGTGTTCAGGTGTGTGTTCAGGTGTGTGTTCAGGTGTGTATAGGTGTGTGTTCAGGTGTGTGTAGGTGTGTGTTCAGGTGTGTGTACCTGCAGCGGTCAGCAGGTGTGTGTTCCTGTAGGTCTGGATCAGCTGCTGGATGCTCTCCTCACTGAGTCCTCGCTCCTCCAGCAGGCGGCGTCCTGCCGGGTCGATGCTGTGCCGCCAGGTGCACTCCGCCCCGTACCTGCAGCCCCCCCGCAGGAAGTGCTGGCACAGGTGCAGCTTCGTGCAGCTCTCCTGGAAACTGCAGCCGCCTTTATTATAGTGCACACACACCTGAGACAGGAAGTAACACACCTGAGACAGGAAATAACACACCTGAGACAGGAAGTAACACACACCTGAGACAGGAAGTAACACACCTGAGACAGGAAGTAACACACACCTGAGACAGGAAGTAACACACCTGAGACAGGAAGTAACACACACCTGAGACAGGAAGTAACACACCTGAGACAGGAAGTAATACACACCTGAGACAGGAAGTAACACACCTGAGTTTATAAAATAATAATAATAATATATAATAATAATAATAATAATAATAATAATAATAATAATAATAGAATAACCTCTGGCAGCAGGGCGGGGTCGTTCTGCAGCAGCAGCACCATCAGCTGCTCCGCATGCAGCTCCTGCAGCGAGCAGTCGCGCAGCGTCGCAGCGTTATGACCCGCCCCCAGGTCATGTGACAGCCTGCACGGCTTCCTGTCACTCAAACACATCACATGTCAGAACCAGTAGTGATTGGAATGAGAAGGGTATTTTGTTGTGAATGATTTATTAGATTGCAGTAAACTGCTGTTTTGGCTTTGGCTCCATCTCTTTCTTATTTATACACGATCCGTGTTCTTTGGGTCATTTACAGATACAAAAATATATCACATTTTATTTTATATTGATCATTTGGATTCTTCCATTTCTGATTTGGTAATAACATTAACTCTGTAGAGAATGGAGAGGAGGCATCCCTCCTTTCTTTTCATCAATGAGTTCAAGTCCTTTTTTCTGTCCATAAAGATTTACAACCATATTTCCAAATGGTTATTATTAGCTTAATGGCTCTCTGACGTGTTAGTGCCCCGCCTCTCTGACGTGTTAGTGCCCCGCCTCTCTGACGTGTTAGTGCCCCGCCTCTCTGACGTGTTAGTGCCCCGCCTCTCTGACGTGTTAGTGCCCCGCCTCTCTGACGTGACGTGTTGTGCCCCGCCTCTCTGACGTGTTGTGCCCCGCCTCTCTGACGTGTTGTGCCCCGCCTCTCTGACGTGTTGTGCCCCGCCTCTCTGACGTGTTAGTGCCCCGCCTCTCTGACGTGTTAGTGCCCCGCCTCTCTGACGTGTTAGTGCCCCGCCTCTCTGACGTGTTAGTGCCCCGCCTCTCTGACGTGTTAGTGCCCCGCCTCTCTGACGTGTTGTGCCCCGCCTCTCTGACGTGTTAGTGCCCCGCCTCTCTGACGTGTTGTGCCCGCCTCTCTGACGTGTTAGTGCCCCGCCTCTCTGACGTGTTGTGCCCCGCCTCTCTGACGTATTAGTGCCCCGCCTCTCTGACGTGTTAGTGCCCCCGCCTCTCTGACGTGTTAGTGCCCCGCCTCTCTGACGTGTTAGTGCCCCGCCTCTCTGACGTGTGTGCCCCGCCTCTCTGACGTGTTGTGCCCCGCCTCTCTGACGTGTTAGTGCCCCGTGTTAGTGCCCCGCCTCTCTGACGTGTTAGTGCCCCGCCTCTCTGACGTGTTAGTGCCCCGCCTCTCTGACGTGTTAGTGCCCCGCCTCTCTGACGTGTTAGTGCCACGCCTCTCTGACGTGTTGTGCCCGCCTCTCTGACGTGTTGTGCCCCGCCTCTCTGACGTGTTAGTGCCCCGCCTCTCTGACGTGTTGTGCCCCGCCTCTCTGACGTGTTAGTGCCCCGCCTCTCTGACGTGTTGTGCCCCGCCTCTCTGACGTGTTAGTGCCCCGCCTCTCTGACGTATTAGTGCCCCGCCTCTCTGACGTATTAGTGCCCCGCCTCTCTGACGTGTTGTGCCCCGCCTCTCTGACGTGTTAGTGCCCCGCCTCTCTGACGTGTTAGTGCCCCGCCCTCTCTGACGTGTTGTGCCCCGCCTCTCTGACGTGTTAGTGCCCCGCCTCTCTGACGTGTTAGTGCCCCGCCTCTCTGACGTGTTAGTGCCCCCGCCTCTCTGACGTGTTAGTGCCCCGCCTCTCTGACGTGTTAGTGCCCCGCCTCTCTGACGTGTTAGTGCCCCGCCTCTCTGACGTGTTAGTGCCCCGCCTCTCTGACGTGTTGTGCCCCGCCTCTCTGACGTGTTAGTGCCCCGCCTCTCTGACGTGTTAGTGCCCCGCCTCTCTGACGTGTTAGTGCCCCGCCTCTCTGACGTGTTAGTGCCCCCGCCTCCCTGACGTGTTGTGCCCCGCCTCTCTGACGTGTTAGTGCCCCGCCTCTCTGACGTGTTAGTGCCCCGCCTCTCTGACGTGTTAGTGCCCCGCCTCTCTGCCGTGTTAGTGCCGCCCCCGCCTCTCTGACGTGTTAGTGCCCCGCCTCTCTGACGTGTTAGTGCCCCGCCTCTCTGACGTGTTGTGCCCCGCCTCTCTGACGTGTTAGTGCCCCGCCTCTCTGACGTGTTGTGCCCCGCCTCTCTGACGTGTTAGTGCCCCGCCTCTCTGACGTGTTAGTGCCCCGCCTCTCTGACGTGTTGTGCCCCGCCTCTCTGACGTGTTAGTGCCCCGCCTCTCTGACGTGTTAGTGCCCCGCCCTCTCTGACGTGTTGTGCCCCGCCTCTCTGACGTGTTAGTGCCCCGCCTCTCTGACGTGTTGTGCCCCGCCTCTCTGACGTGTTAGTGCCCCGCCTCTCTGACGTGTTAGTGCCCCGCCTCTCTGACGTGTTAGTGCCCCGCCTCTCTGACGTGTTTGTGCCCCGCCTCTCTGACGTGTTAGTGCCCCGCCTCTCTGACGTGTTAGTGCCCCCGCCTCTCTGACGTTGTTAGTGCCCCGCCTCTCTGACGTGTTAGTGCCCCGCCTCTCTGACGTGTTAGTGCCCCGCCTCTCTGACGTGTTAGTGCCCCGCCTCTCTGACGTGTTAGTGCCCCGCCTCTCTGACGTGTTAGTGCCCCGCCTCTCTGACGTGTTAGTGCCCCGCCTCTTATTGGATGTCTTTTTTATGTTTTTTGTCTTTATTGTGAATTCATGTCTAACTTGATTTATATCCTCATCAAGCTTTATGTTCTAAATATCTAACCCTAACCATTATGAATGATCTAAGTATCGATATAACTGTGTGTGTGTGTGTGTGTGTGTGTGCAGCTGCAGTTTCTGTTTCCTTAACTTTCACTTAGCCTCTTCACAGCTGCAGGATGTATCACTCCGCGGCGGAGGAACAGGAAATAGTCCTCATGTTTCTGACTACAGCTGAGCGCGGAGTGATTTATAAAATGTAATTAAAGTGTATTTATATGTATTATAGATGATATGATATGATATATTAAGTATTTAATCTGTACCAGTAGAACCAGCCTCAGCACTGACCGTTTATCCCTCCGCGGGAGGATCTAGCTCCTCTCAGAAAGATAACACAAGATGGAACTTTATTTATACCAGTGGGGAAATTCAGGCGAATTCAAGACATCACAAAGTTGAGCATTTGTATGAACATGTTAAATATATTTACACAAGTGTGTAGATGAGAGTGCAGACACCTGTCGGCTCACCTTCCCTTCCCGAACCTGCAGGTCCCGAACAGGAAGTACTTGCAGAGGTGGAGGTTCGGGCAGGGACCGGGACCGGGACCGGCCCCGGACCCGGAGCAGCCCCCCTCCCGCGGGTACAGCGCGCAGAGACGCAGCGAGGTCCGGGCCATAACCGCGCAGTCCTCGGCCCGCAGCGGCCCGGCCGGCCCGGGTCCGCGGTCCAGCAGGAAGCGGGGGACCCGCTGCACCATGGAGCAGAACTCTTCTTCTGTGATTCGGCACCGCTGCAGCAACTTCCGGTGCAGATCCAGCAGAGGCAGAGACCCCCCGCTGCTGCACAGGAGCTGCGTGCAGACCTGGACCTCCAGACTGGAGCCTGAGCCTGGTTCTGGTTCTGGTTCTGTGGTTCTCTTGTTCTGGTTCTGTGGTTCTCTTGTTCTGGTTCTGGTTCTCTGGTCCTCCTGCAGCCTCTCTCTCCTCTCACTGCTCTGTTTCTTCAGAGGAGGGACAGGTACATCCTCACCTCAGGCCCCGCCCCCAGACTCTCACAATACAAGCCTATTTGATTTATTATTACAAATAATTTATTCAATTGATTAAAATGTCTAATAATTGTTTTTGTTTTACAACCTAAAACCAGAGCTGCTCCACACACTGATTACACAGTGTGTGTGTGAGTGTGTGATTAAAGAGTGTGTGATTAAAGAGTGTGTGTGTGTGTGTGAGTGAGTGATTAAAGAGTGTGTGTCCAGGTGGGTGTGATCACTCAGCTGTGTGTCGTCAGTGAGACAGGATGCTGTCTGTCTGCCTGCTGTCTGTCTGCCTGCTCTGCACTCTCTCAGGTCAGAAACACTTTATATTAATATATCTGCACATTAAAAACATGTGACCCTCTTTAATGTGTGTGTGTGTGTGTGTGTGTGTGTGTGTGTGTGTGTGTGTGTGTGTGTGTGTGTGTGTGTGTGTGTGTGTGTGTGTGTGTGTGTGTGTGTGTGTGTGTGTGTTGTGTGTGTGTGTGTGTGTGTGTGTGTGTGTGTGTGTGTGTGTGTGTGTGTGTGTGTGTGTGTGTGTGTGTGTGTGTGTGTGTGTGTGTGTGTGTGTGTGTGTGTGTGTGTTCAGGTGTGACTCTGAATGAAACGGATCCTCATCACTTCTCCGGACACTTTGGATTTGGAAGTAAAACACATTTATTTATTTTATATAATTTCCTTTTAGCTGAAAGTGTGTGTGTGAATAAATATTGAAACACACAAATCTATTTAAATAAAACATGTTTTAATACAAAAAATATTTGACATTTAAAATACTAAATTACTTTAAAACATTGTATTTAATGTTCTGTAAATCAGCCACGTGTGTGTAGTACCCGGACTCACCAGCTGAGGGCGCTCTCGGTTTATAACGCCATGTGTTGGATTCAGACATCCCATAATGATATCATTATAAGTGTGGGTTCAGTAGTTTAAATAATAAATACCCACTCTCTGGTTGAACTGGACTTTTATTCATTTATCAAATATTAAGAATATTTGTTAGTTTTGTTTATTTATATATTTTTTTACTAACAATAATTGGGGGGTTCCTTTGTAATGATGTGATCTATGTTTCAGACGTGTCGGGGCTGCGCTCGTTCCCCCCCGAGCAGCAGCAGGAGTCCCGGATCATCGGGGGGGACGAGGCCTGGATGAACTCCTGGCCCTGGCAGGTCTCCCTCAGGTTCGCCTCCATGCCGGCCTGCGGGGGGGGCTGTCATCGCCCCCCTGTGGGTGGTCTCTGCCGCGCACTGCTTCAGGAGGTAATGTTTCATATAATATATGTATATATACTTAGGCCTCTCACGATAATTAATTTTGTTGGACAATACATTTTCCTGGAAATGATTGCGATAAACGATAATATTGTCGGCACCGTTGTAAGACCATTTTAGAACTAACATAATGATAATATATAATAATAATTCAAGTACATCCTTTCAAACATAACTTTTTATTGAACATTCAACATTGCAAATGAAATGTGAAATAATATTAAAATATATAAATTATATATAATAAATAAAACAAATGTAATTAAATTATTATAAATTAATTAAATCACACACAACCAAAACAATAAATTAAATAGACTCAGGCTAGAAAACAGAGCTCTCTCTCTCTATATATATATATTCTTCTTTAAGGGGGGGGTCACACAGGTATACTGTTTATATATAATAACCCCCCCTCACCTGTGCAGGTACAACAAGGCCTCATTCTGGACCGTCCTGGCAGGGAAACACGACCTGGACAACGACCGGGAGCCGGGACAGCAGGTGACCCCCCCCCTAAAAGAGACTCAGATATACTAAAAGATAATGTGTTATTGATTAACAGCTGGTGGGGGTCTCCAGGATCCTGGTCCATCTTATCTTATCTTTATTGATTAACAGCTGGTGGGGGTCTCCAGGATCCTGGTCCATCAGGACTACGACCCGCGGACTAAAGAGAGAGACGTGGCTCTTCTTCAGCTGAAGAGTCCGCTCGTCTTCAACACCTTCGTCAGACCCATTGACGTCTGGATGTTCCCGCTGTCCCCCCTCAGGAAGTGCACCATCACGGGCTGGGGGTCCACCAGAGAGAGTGAGGGTCCTACACACTACACACTACACACTACACACTACACACTACCCTTAAACACTACCCCTCCGCACCACCCCACACAATGTCCGCCACATTAAAGGTGGGGTAGGTAAGTTTGAGAAACCGGCTCGAGATACACTTGTTATTATATTCCATGGAATGCTCTTAACATCCCTGATAGCAATGAATATCTGAAGTGCTTTGACAAAAAATCCATAAAAAATATCATCAGTGGAAGCTGTGGTACTGTAAAAAGCACGACCAATCATCTGAGCCGGCCCGGCTAAAATAACTGGATGGCCTACCTGCCTGTCAGCCTTCCATCTGTGCACAAACTTATCTCGTGCCCTCATTGGTCATGTGCGCGTTCGTGTGTGTTGGAGGAGGGGCTCTGTGAGGAAGTGGCAGATTTTCTCCGGTCGTGTATTTTCAAATTCTAGCGCACTCGAGCCGGTTTCTCAAACTGACCTACCCCACCTTTAAGGTCTGTTCCAAACCAACACGTGTTGAGGGGGAGTGGGTTATTGTCATACAGATGTAAACTACTTCCTGTTACCTCACATTGTTTTGAACTCAGGGTCATACGTGTGTTTCATTGTGGTATCAACTGAAACTGTTGCAAAAACTAAGCAGCTTATAAAATAAATAAATAAATATCAGATTTTAAAACAAAGTGGTTTACAAAAAAGAAACACCATTAAAGATTTTGGGGGTTTTATCTTTAATGAAAGAGATGCTGATTTCCAGCATTTCCTGTTCCTGCCGGAGAGAGGGGGGTTAGGTTCTGTTTGTCTCCATCTGAAGGAGCCTCGTTCAGCTGAGGGACTACAGACGGACTTCACTCCATCATGGAGGGGGAGTGGGGAGGGTGTGGTTTGGAATTGGGCCTGAGAGACTCTGAAGTCCTGATCCTGGTCCCCCATGAATCTGTGGTGTCCTAATGCTCCATGTCTCTCTCCAGATGGTCCTCGGGTGAACCGGCTCCAGGAGGTGAACGTCACCATCCTGTCCCCAGAGTCCTGCAACCAGTTCTACCTCGGGAGGATGCGTCCCTCCATGTTCTGCGCCGGGAGGCCCGGAGGGGGGGCGGACGCCTGCCAGGTACTGAACCTCCAGAACCTGGATCCTCACCTCTAACGGTCCTCTCTGGTCTCAGGGGGACTCTGGTGGTCCTCTTTGTGTCTCTAATGGTCCTCTTTGTCTCAGGGAGACTCTGGTGGTCCTCTGTCCTGCTTCACTGGCAGCCGGTACCAGTTGGCGGGTCTGGTGAGTTGGGGGGTCGGCTGTGGACGGGCCAGGAAGCCGGGGGTCTACACCAAACTGCAGACCCACACCCAGTGGATGATGGACCTCATGAGTAGGTGTCTTTTCTGTATCTGGATTGATTTAAAACTCTTTTGATTGTTTTGTTTAACTTTCTGACACCGAAGATCTGAATCTCAGAACTCACAGTTTGAACATAGTCTCTCATAAAAACCACCCGGATGCAACGAGGTGAGTTCTTCTGGCACTCATCGCCCCTGAGAAGGAAACAGTTGAGCCAGAGTCCCAGCAGCATGATAATAAAGTGGACACTAACAGAGCAGTAACATATCTACAGGAAACACACACGGTCACATCATGTAAACACATCACTGAGGACATGAGGACATGTTGACCAGGGTCCTATGATGTCCCCCCAGGTGATGAGCACCTGCTGTCTGCAGACCAGGTCTCTGAGGAGGACATCTGTGGGCTGGGCTCCGGCTGTGGGGGGGTTCCAGGCCACGCCTCTCTCTCAGTGGCCCAGGATGGGGGGATCTCAGTGGGGAACGTCTCGGAGGTCTGTCCCTCCTCCTGGCCCTGGCAGGTCAGCCTGCAGAGTGAGGGATACCATTACTGCAGCGGGACCCTGGTCCACAGGGACTGGGTCCTGGTCCCCCAGCACTGCAACGTCAGGTAATAATATATACTATATACAAACTACATAAACACTTATGTCTCTGTCCTTTATTAGCATCCTCTGACTCATAATGCTGACTCATGTCAGGGTTTAGGACTCATAATGCTGACTCAGGTCAGGGTTTAGGACTCATAATGCTGACTCATGTCAGGGTTTAGGACTCATAATGCTGACTCAGGTCAGGGTTTAGGACTCATAATGCTGACTCATGTCAGGGTTTAGGACTCATAATGCTGACTCATGTCAGGTTCAGGACTCATAATGCTGACTCATGTCAGGTTCAGGACTCATAATGCTGACTCATGTCAGGTTCAGGACTCATAATGCTGACTCATGTCAGGTTCAGGACTCATAATGCTGACTCATGTCAGGTTCAGGACTCATAATGCTGACTCATGTCAGGGTTCAGGACTCGTAATGCTGACTCATGTCAGGGTTCAGGACTCATAATGCTGACTCATGTCAGGGTTTAGGACTCATAATGCTGACTCATGTCAGGGTTTAGGACTCATAATGCTGACTCATGTCAGGGTTCAGGACTCATAATGCTGACTCATGTCAGGTTCAGGACTCATAATGCTGACTCATGTCAGGGTGTAGGACTCATAATGCTGACTCATCTCAGGGTTCAGGACTCATAATGCTGACTCATGTCAGGGTTTAGGACTCATAATGCTGACTCATGTCAGGGTTCAGGACTCATAATGCTGACTCATGTCAGGGTTTAGGACTCATAATGCTGACTCATGTCAGGTTCAGGACTCATAATGCTGACTCATGTCAGGGTTTAGGACTCATAATGCTGACTCATCTCAGGGTTCAGGACTCATAATGCTGACTCATGTCAGGGTTTAGGACTCATAATGCTGACTCATGTCAGGGTTCAGGACTCATAATGCTGACTCATGTCAGGGTTTAGGACTCATAATGCTGACTCATGTCAGGTTCAGGACTCATAATGCTGACTCATGTCAGGGTTTAGGACTCATAATGCTGACTCATCTCAGGGTTCAGGACTCATAATGCTGACTCATATCAGGGTTCAGGACTCGTAATGCTGACTCATGTCAGGGTTCAGAACTCATAATGCTGACTCATGTCAGGGTTCAGGACTCATAATGCTGACTCATGTCAGGGTTCAGGACTCATAATGCTGACTCATGTCAGGGTTCAGGACTCATAATGCTGACTCATGTCAGGGTTCAGGACTCATAATGCTGACTCATGTTAGGGTTCAGGACTCATAATGCTGACTCAGGTCAGGGTTCAGGACTCATAATGCTGACTCACTTCAAGGTGTTAGGACTCATAATGCTGACTCACTTCAAGGTGTTAGGACTCATAATGCTGACTCACTTCAGGGTGTTAGGACTCATTCCCCGTGTGTTCTGTCCCTGCAGAGCTCAGGAGGACGTGGTGGTTCTGGGGGTCCACGGCCTCCGGTTCTCCTCCTCTCAGACGGTCCCAGTGCAGGAGGTTCTGAGCCTCCCTCGGGACGGCAGCTTCCCCCCCCGCTCCGACCTGTCCCTGCTGCGCCTCAGACGCTCCGCACGACTCAGTACGAACCCAGAAACACTTCATTTAGTCCTCACCAGAACTCAACCCAGAAACACTTCATTTAGTCCTCACCAGAACTCAACCCAGAAACACTTCATTTAGTCCTCACCAGAACCAGGAGAGTTCACCACATCACTCCAGTTCTCAAAGGTCTGCACTGGCTTCCTGTCACACACAGCCACTTCAAAATCTCTTATCTTCAGGAGGGTTACGCCTCATCTCCCGGGTCAGAACTACATTCACTGAGGCAGCTTTGACCTTATTTAAGACTAGAGCTGCCAAGGGGGTCTAGGATTTAGCGGTTCTAGTGTGAAGGGTCTCCATATCAGACTGACCCCCCCCCCCCAATCTGGTCCCCAGGCTCTGAGGTGTCTCCGGTCTGTCTCCCGGACGAGGACGAGGACCTGGACAGCAGCTGGTCCTGTGTCACCACCGGCTGGGGGGCCACCAAGGCTTCAGGTACCTTCAATCCTTAAAGTCCCAAACAGGAAGTGTGAATATTATGTAATGTATGGTAACATTCTGCAACGTCATGTAAGATACCGTGTAACAGTTTAGGAAATGTTAAATTCTCCAGCCTGCTGTGATGTTAGAATAACTCAGCGTTTCTCAAAGTGTGGGGTGCGCCCCACTGGTGGAGCGCAGAGATGTGATCGGTGGGTCGTGAATGGACGCGATGAACGGGAGATTATTATTTTTTTTAAATACATTTTTTGGACCTCAGGCCGGAATCGAACCTGGGTCCTCGCGGGCGGTAGAGGACTGTTACAGCCGGAGACTCGCAGCGGTGGTGGACTTTCACAGTACCGGCGCAGCGGTGCTGTGAATGGCCCACCTATGCCAGAACCAGCGGCCCACCGGGAAAAGTCAAACGCAAACATCTCTCATACACACATGAGAGAGAGAGAGAGAGAGAGAGAGAGAGATGGATGTTGTTTCCATCAATTCATCTGGGGCTCAAAGTGCTCCAGATTGATGCATTCACACAGAGGTTAAAGGTCAGCATATCAAAATGTGCTAAATATATACACTGCAGAAAAAGGAGTAAAAGTAGCTCACGACTTGTTTTATTCTTTGAAAGTAGCTCTCATCCTAAAGGTTGGAGACCCCTGATCTCTAGAACCATACATTTGACCATTTTAAGCTTGGCCTACAATTGTATTGGAGCGATGAGGAACAGGTGGGGCTTGATGAGGAACAGGTGGGGCTTGAAGAGGAACAGGTGGGGCTTGATGAGGAACAGGTGGGGCTTGATGAGGAACAGGTGGGGCTTGATGAGGAACAGGTGAGGCTCGAAGAGGAACAGGTGGGGCTCGAAGAGGAACAGGTGGGGCTCGATGAGGAACAGGTGGGGCTCGATGAGGAACAGGTGGGGCTCGAAGAGGAACAGGTGGGGCTCGATGAGGAACAGGTGGGGCTCGATGAGGAACAGGTGGGGCTCGATGAGGAACAGGTGGGGCTCGATGAGGAACAGGTGGGGCTCGATGAGGAACAGGTGAGGCTCGATGAGGAACAGGTGAGGCTCGATGAGGAACAGGTGGGGCTCGATGAAGAACAGGTGGGGCTCGATGAGGAACAGGTGGGGCTCGATGAGGAACAGGTGGGGCTCGATGAGGAACAGGTGGGGCTCGAAGAGGAACAGGTGGGGCTCGATGAGGAACAGGTGGGGCTCGATGAGGAACAGGTGGGGCTCGATGAGGAACAGGTGGGGCTCGATGAGGAACAGGTGGGGCTCGATGAGGAACAGGTGAGGCTCGAAGAGGAACAGGTGGGGCTTGATGAGGAACAGGTGGGGCTCGAAGAGGAACAGGTGGGGCTTTGATGAGGAACAGGTGGGGCTCGATGAGGAGCAGGTGGGGCTCGAAGAGGAACAGGTGGGGCTCGAAGAGGAACAGGTGGGGCTCGATGAGGAACAGGTGGGGCTCGATGAGGAACAGGTGGGGCTTTGATGAGGAACAGGTGGGGCTCGATGAGGAGCAGGTGGGGCTCGAAGAGGAACAGGTGGGGCTCGATGAGGAACAGGTGGGGCTCGATGAGGAACAGGTGGGGCTCGATGAGGAACAGGTGGGGCTCGATGAGGAACAGGTTGGGCTCGATGAGGAACAGCTGGGGCTCGAAGAGGAACAGGTGGGGCTTGAAGAGGCCCACCTGTTCAAAGTGGGGAATGACAGAAAAAGAGAACCACTGGAAGAACTGAACGTGGTTTTCCCGTATTACACATTTTTAGTTTCTCTGATTTGATATTACGCAATCTCTTCAGACCTTAAAGTCCCAACAGGAAGTGGTTTAACGATGTGTTTCCTGTGCAGCGGCGGTGGATCCGGAACGGCAGCACCAGGCCAGCCTGACTCTGGTGAACCTGACCTCCTGCCGGCAGCAGTGGGGGGGGGACCTCGTCACGGACTCTCATATCTGTGCCCATCCTGCCGGCTCCGCCTCCTGCATGGTAACCACCCCCCCCCAACGCTAACCCATTCCCTCCTGTCCTCTGATCAGGACTAACAGAGCTTGTGTCCCTCCCTCCTTGTCCGCAGGGCGACCGCGGGGCGCCGCTGTTCTGCCGGAAGCGAGGCGCCTACTTCCTGTTTGGCGTGTTGACGTGGGGCAGCCGGCGCTGCGACGCAGAGCGACCCGCCATCTTCTCCAGGATCACAGACTACCATCCCTGGATCTCTGAGGTCACACAGGACCTCTGAGGTCACCCTGGACCTCTGAGGTCACACAGGACCTCTGAGGTCACCAAGGATCTCTGAGGTCACCCTGGACCTCTGAGTGATGACGGAAATAAAAATACTTTCACGTAGCGCAGACTCAGAGTTTATTCACGTGACCTGGGGGGAAATGTGTTGTGATAACGCAAGATAATGTAAGATAACGTATGGTAACGTAGCATAACGTAACGTAATGGGGCACCCTTATCAAAAAATTGTAAATGTTATATAAGGGGGCACCCTTATATAACAAGTTTATTTTTGATAAGGGGGGACCCTTATCAAACATTTTACATTTTATCATCGTAATGTAACATTAGATAATATAATGTAACATAAGATAACGGAATTTAATATATGGTAACGTAACATACGATAAAGTAACGTAATGTAGCATAATGTAATGTAATATAACGTAGAGTAATGTAAGATAAGGTTATGTAACGTAACATACAGTAATGTAACGAGGATAAGGTATGGTAATATAATATTACGTAATGTAACGTATGGTAATTTACCGTAAGATAAGGTATGTTACCTTAAAGGGGACCTATCATGCAAAATGCACTTGTGTACGTCTTTTCTACATGAATATGTGTCCCCGGTGTTCCAGGGAACTCACCAAGTGTCAGAAAACACAACCCTCTCTATTTTCCTCCATACCCAAATCTCTGCTGTAGTACATATGCCAGGCCTGTAGGTGGTGCTGTTCTCACAGAATCAGCCCTTGCTAAAACAGAGCTAAAAATTGTCAAATTGAGCAAAATGAGGCATGGCTAAAATGCATGATCTGTTTGGTATTTTGAAAAAAAGTAAGTATAAATATGCCTTATATAGGTATGGTCCTACACTATATTATTCAAATATAGCATGATAGGTCCACTTTAATATTATGTAACATAACATATGGTTAACGTTTTACAGTGTAGGAAATGCTTATTTCTGCAGCCTGCTGTCTCGTGACGTTAAAACTGAACGTAGTTTTCACGTATTACACATTCGCGTTTTATATTACGTAATCTCTTCAGACATCGGGTGAATTAGTGTTACAGAGAAATGAGAAAAAGCAACACAAACAACTATTTTAAACATTTTAATCAACATTTGACTTCAGGTCTGATTCTCCATGTCGCTCCTCGTAACAAAGATAAGAAACCTCTTCAAACTTTAGGTTTGGTGACATCAGGTAGTTCTTTATAACCTCGCTGAATCTGATGGGCACCTGAACGCATCATAGCTCTTCAGTGAATCCTCCACCAGATGAAATATTAAAACATGAGTCCGTGATGAAGAGGGTCCGGGTTCTGACCCCTGACCCTACCCCTGCAGCAGGTCGTAGGAAGCCCCGTTCTCCACTTCCTGTTGGTCCTCCTGCAGACAGACAGTTATATTTATTAATGAGCTTCACTTGGAATCACTCAGGAGACGACCCTCTCTACAGGGGGGGGGGGTCTCTGTATGAAACTCACATTGCTGCTCTCTGCTGGTTTGGACTCTGCTGGTTCTGGATCCGCTTCATAACCCGGGTTACAGATGCTGCGACCGCCCACCGCCCGTCCTTCCTCTTCCTCCTCTTCCTCCTCCCCTTCGTCCTGATGGAGACACCGTCAGCACCGCCACATATCCCATACGATAATACTTTAATGTTCAAGTCTGAAATGCTCCTTGCATCACAGCAGCTCCATGTAACATCAACCAACCCACTGTCTCACGGCGTTTCGTGTTATAGTCACGACATGTAATCTATTGATTCGTGTTCACCATTTTCCCCTTTGTTTCGTGTCAAAGAACGATTTTAAAAGCGATGTATTTCTATTGGTAGTATGTTTCGTGCCTGCGTCTTTTTGTCCGGTCGGGTCGTGGAAGACCGGAAGCTGTGGTTCATAAAAACATGTTCTTACTCAATGTCAAGCCACGATTATTGTTTTGATTTGAAATCATATAATGTCTGACTTTCTTTGCCGTCCGTGAGGAAAAGAAATGTCTCAGAGCCTCAGGACACTGACATCTGTAGTTTTTCAATCTTTTTTTCCTTCTAATTTGTTATTCTTTGGTGCAGGCACGAAACATACTACCAATAGAAATACATTGCTTTTAAAATCGTTCTGTGTGACACGAAGAAAATGGGAAAATGGTGAACACGAATCAATAGATTGACTATAACACGAAATGCCGTGAGACTGGGTTGCATCAACAGACAAACAACAACACACATGAGAAACAAACAACAACATGGAACATAACATCAGGATCAGTGAGAGCTGCTCAAAGAGCCTTCAGCGTGATCTGATCTGTAGCTCTGTGTTCACTGAGAGGACTGGAGCACAGAGGATGCTTCAGACTGACTGGAGCTCAGAGGATGCTTCAGACTGACTGGAGCACAGAGGATGCTTCAGGCTGACTGGAGCTCAGAGGATGCTTCAGGCTGACTGGAGCACAGAGGATGCTTCAGACTGACTGGAGCTCAGAGGATGCTTCAGACTGACTGGAGCTCAGAGGATGCTTCAGACTGACTGGAGCACAGAGGATGCTTCAGGCTGACTGGAGCTCAGAGGATGCTTCAGACTGACTGGAGCTCAGAGGATGCTTCAGACTGACTGGAGCTCAGAGGATGCTTCAGGCTGACTGGAGCACAGAGGATGCTTCAGACTGACTGGAGCTCAGAGGATGCTTCAGACTGACTGGAGCACAGAGGATGCTTCAGACTGACTTTATTCAATCTCCATCAGATGGTAGCGGTTCAGATTCTCTGTCAGAGCATGCTTTGGGTCCAGAGGACGCTGTTGGACATCATTTATCATATCATGGTATTAACAGCAGGTTTCTGACCTTGAAGTAGTGGAAGTGGAACGGCTTGGTGTTGTGTTTGTAGAAGTGGAACCCCACGAAGAGCACGGCCAGCACCAGGACCACCAGCAGCACCACGCCCACCCCCACCCCCGCCTGGTGGGCCACCGCCATCTGCAGGGACACACGCTTATATATAAATACTGTGTATAAGGTGTTGGGAAAACAGTGAGTATACTCTTCCAACATGAGAGTAACATGCTAACAAAGGTATCCCAACTGTAGCTGTGAACATGACAGGATGTATGATTACCTAGAAGAGCATCAGGACTGTTTGAGGCATATGATAGCTATGTGATTAACATGATGATTCAGCCTCTATGGAGATAGACATATGACAAGCATGCTCATTTCTGACGTGGAGCTAATCTGAAGTAAACATTGAATACTGCTTTCTATTCCTCCATCTTGTGACTGTGTAACTCCCTCTCTTGGATATCAGCATGTGAAGGACACTGTTCAGGAACTAGTTGATGCTCTGTATGTGATGACTACTTCCATTCTGGAGAGGATCACAGATACATGGATCCTGAGATTGAAGCTCAAGCCAGGGACAAAATGTTGTCCCTGGTCAAAATGTTGAGATGTTTGATTAGAAGTCAACATTTTGAGAAAAAGTCAACATTTTTTGATTATTTAGAAAAAGTCCGAATTTTTGAGATTTTGAGGAAAAAGTCAAACATTTTTGAGATTTTGAGAAAAAGACAGAATTTTGAGATTTTGAGAAAAAAACAGATTTTTTAGAAAAAGTCAACATTTTTATAAAAAGTGAGATTTTTTGAGATTTTGAGAAAAAATTTAACATTTTTAGAAAAAGTCAGAATTTTTGAGATTTTGAGGAAAAAGTCAAACATTTTTGAGATTTTGAGAAAAAAACAGAATTTTGAGGTTTTGAGAAAAAAACAGATTTTTTAGAAAAAGTCAACATTTTTAGAAAAAGTGAGAAGTTTTGAGATTTTGAGGAAAAAGTCAACATTTTTAAGATTTTGAGAAAAAGACAGGATTTTGAGATTTTGAGAAAAAAACAGAATTTTGCGATTTTGAGAAAAAGTCAGAATTTTTAGATTATCAGAAAAAGTCAGAACCGGTATTCCTCCATCTTGTGACTGTGTAACTCCCTCTCTTGGATATCAGCATGTGAAGGACACTGTTCAGGAACTAGTTGATGCTCTGTATGTGATGACTACTTCCATTCTGGAGAGGATCAGGAATACATGGATCCTGAGATTGAAGCTCAAGCCGGGGACAAAATGACGAAGGTACGTTTTAACCGTTTGTTTTTTAGTTCAAATTGAAATTAAAAAAAGTGCAGAAACGGGTCGTTTTTTTGTTTTTCAATTTTGCCCCAAAACGAAAAAACGGAAATTCAGCTCGTTTTTTCGTTTTTCTGTTCTTACTGTTAAAACAAGTATACCACTCAATGTTTCGTTTCCATAAGTGGGTGCGTCTCCAGCGCCTCCTTGCTTCTGATTGGCTAGTGTGCCCTATGCTTGCGCTGTACCCTTCAAAATAAAGGTTCTACGTCTTTGCCTTTAGACTGCGTTACAAATATACGTATATTATTATGTTCATACATGCAGAAAGTACAGAAGACAGTCTGTCCGTATGTCTGTCTTTCTATGTATATGTCTGTCTGTCTCGATGTCTTTCTATCTCGATGTCTGTCTGTCTGTCTGTCTGTCTGTCTGTCTGTAACTATATTTTAGAGTTTAAAGCGTAGCCACTTTTCCTCCACTACATGTATTTAAAACCTTTAGTTACTTTACAGATTTGGATGAATGATGTGAAATATAATCAAGTGTTAAATCAGACTTTAGTTCCACCTGGAGTAAATCCACAAGCTAGCCTGCAGTATACAAAGTCATTCAAACTAGCTGCACCTTTACCAGCTTTGAGAACACTTTAATTATCAATCATTATAAAACTCTGGTACTTCTACTTTTACTCAAGTACAAGATCTGAGTACTTCGACAATGGTAAAAACCTGTCTTTTTTCTTTTTAAAGAAACAATGACTGGACCCATGTTTTCCTCCTGCTGCCGAAGCATCGTGGGATGCAGGCTCTGTGTGGAGGAGTGGAGGATAACATCTCCCCAATGCCTTAAGTGCAGGGATCAGGAGCCAGTGTATACCCAGGTTGCTGGACTGTCTGCAGCACTGGATGCTTTAAGGGCCCTACCCTAAAGTGGACAGCAGTTCAGTCGTTTATTGTTAAGTTTATTGTTTATTGTTAAGTGGTGTGTGTTCAAATTCCAGGTTCCATGATATCATCATACAGAAAATAATTGTTGTAGTTTTCTTTAGCTGTATGACTTGTTAATTGTTCATCTGCAATGTTTAATAAATGGAGAATTGTTTGAATGTGTGTCCATGGTATGTTTAATTATATTTCTAAACACAGGCAAATAGCTGCATACGTAAGGCAATACAATCAAACGCTATTATTTTATCATCCACGCACCAACAGAACATTTGGAAATCAACCATTGTCGAAGTACTCAGATCTTGTACTTGAGTAAAAGTAGAAGTACCAGAGTGTAGGAATACTCTGTTACAGTAAAAGTCCTGCATTCAAAATGTTCCTCAAGTGAAAGTAGAAAAGTATTCTCATCAAAATATAGTGAAAGTAGCGACAGTAAAAGTAGTCATTGTGCAGATTGGTCCATTTCAGAATAATATATATGATATGTTTTATAATGATTGATCATGAAAGTGTTCTCAAAGCTGGTAAAGGTGCAGCTAGTTTGAATGACTTTGTATACTGCAGGGTAGCTTGTGGATTTACTCCAGGTGGAACTAAAGTCTGATTTAACACTTGATTATATTTCACATCATTCATCCACATCTGTAAAGTAACTAAAGGTATTAAATACATGTAGTGGAGTAAAAGTGGCTACGCTTTAAACTCTAAAATATAGTTACAGACAGACAGACAGACAGACAGACAGACAGACATCGAGATAGAAAGACATCGAGACAGACAGACATATACATAGAAAGACAGACATACGGACAGACTGTCTTCTGTACTTTCTGCATGTATGAACATAATAATATACGTATATTTGTAACGCAGTCTAAAGGCAAAGACGTAGAACCTTTATTTTGAAGGGTACAGCGCAAGCATAGGGCACACTAGCCAATCAGAAGCAAGGAGGCGCTGGAGACGCACCCACTTATGGAAACGAAACATTGAGTGGTATACTTGTTTTAACAGTAAGAACAGAAAAACGAAAAAACGAGCTAAATTTCCGTTTTTTCGTTTTGGGGCAAAATTGAAAAACAAAAAAACGACCCGTTTCTGCTCTTTTTTTAGTTTCAATTTGAACTAAAAAACAAACGGTTAAAACGTACCTTCGTCCAAAATGTTGTCCCTGGTCAAAATGTTGAGATGTTTGATTAAAAGTCAACATTTTGAGAAAAAGTCAACATTTTTGGATTTTTTATAAAAAGTGAGATTTTTTGAGATTTTGAGGAAAAATTCAACATTTTTACATTTTTAGAAAAAGTCAGAATTTTTGAGATTTGAGAAAAAGTCAACATTTTTAGAAAAAGTGAGAAGTTTTGAGATTTTTTAGAAAAAGTCAACATTTTTGAGATTTTGAGAAAAAGTGAGAAGTTTTGAGATATTGAGAAAAAAACAGAATTTTGAGAAAAAAACAGATTTTTTTAGAAAAAGTCAACATTTTTAGAAAAAGTGAGAAGTTTTGAGGAAAAAGTCAGATTTTTTTGAAAAAGTCAACATTTTTGAGATTTTGAGAAAAAGACAGAATTTTGAGATTTTGAGAAAAAAACAGAATTTTGAGAAAAAAACAGATTTTTTTAGAAAAAGTCAACATTTTTAGAAAAAGTGAGAAGTTTTGAGATTTTGAGGAAAAAGTCAACATTTTTGAGATTTTGAGAAAAAGACAGGATTTTGAGATTTTGAGAAAAAGTCAGAACCGGTATTCCTCCATCTTGTGACTGTGTAACTCCCTCTCTTGGATATCAGCATGTGAAGGACACTGTTCAGGAACTAGTTGATGCTCTGTATGTGATGACTACTTCCATTCTGGAGAGGATCACAGATACATGGATCCTGAGATTGAAGATCAAGCTGGGGACAAAATGTTGTCCCTGGTCAAAATGTTGAGATGTTTGATTAAAAGTCAACATTTTGAGAAAAAGTCAACATTTTTTGATTTTTTATAAAAAGTGAGATTTTTTGAGATTTTGAGGAAAAAGTCAACATTTTTGAGAAAAAAACAGAATTTTTAGATTATCAGAAAAAGTCAGAACCGGTATTCCTCCATCTTGTGACTGTGTAACTCCCTCTCTTGGATATCAGCATGTGAAGGACACTGTTCAGGAACTACTTGATGCTCTGTATGTGATGACTACTTCCATTCTGGAGAGGATCACAGATACATGGATCCTGAGATTGAAGCTCAAGCCAGGGACCAGGGAGAGTTTTCTAGTAAACAGTATGAGTGTAGTGAGTGATGCTGACCTGGTGCTGGGGGGGGGGCGCTCTGAGCGGCCCCTGCAGGACGTGGATCAACCCGTTCGAGGCCAAGATGTCCGAGTCTGTGACGAAGCGATCGTTGATGTACCGAGACGCCTGAGGACGATGAAGAGGAGGAGGAAGAGGAAGAGGAGATGTTTACACAAGTTGTGCCATGCACTTTTAAGGGGGTCTCGAGTTATGGTCTGTAAACATCTCCACATTTTCCTTTTGTCGTGTCAAATGATCATATCATCATTTAAAACATATAGTCTTATACTCTGTTCAAGTGTATTGTTAGTCTGGTGTGTTGAGCAGAGACAGAAGTTAAGGGTTTACATTTCAGGAGGTAAAGGAAGTGAAAGGTGGATTAACAAATGGTTAAGGACTGGAGGTTTGATGGTTTGATGATGGGATGGAGGAGCAGCTGGTTCCTCTCATGAACACACAGAGAGACTGAAAGCAGAGCTTCTCTCTCCTCTGAGGAGGAAGCTGCTCTGCTCCTGCTCTTCAGATCCATCTCACTTTATATCCACTTTCTTTATTACTTTATTAAATATAACAAAAGACAAACTTTGTGCATGAATCATGTATCAGTGTCTCTGAAGAGTTTCCTCCACAGGGTTCATCCTATCTTCAGTGTGTTGGCGCACAGGACATGGGTTGGATACATTTATACTAGTTTCTCTTATTGTTTTGATCTTTAATAAAAACGGAGTTTCTCATGAGTTCTAAAACGTGTTTCTGTTTATTCCCAAAAGTTCCAGATTTAAAGATGTTAAAACATATCTTTGAACCAATCAGAATTCAAGCAAACGTATTATGGGCGTGTTGGCTTTGATTGACAGATGTACCACCTATCACAGCCCACCGTTTGAGGTTACAACTCATATAAACGAATACACTGAGTTGTTGTTGTTGTTGTTGTTGTTGTTGTTGTTGTCTGTTAGTTTGGATGTTCCTCACCATGGCCGAGGGGTTCAGCAGGGCGGAGACTCCGAGCACCTTCAGGTTCCCGACCCGAGTCCTGATCCGGGTCCCGTTCCTCAGGTGGTCCAGAGGAAGAGCCTGGCCCTCCGACAGGTGGAACTCCAGGTCCCTCTGAGACAGGGTCTACAGGTGAGGGGGGGGGGGGGGACAGGTAAACACATCAACTCCAGGTCCCTCTGAGACAGGGTCTAGAGGTGAGGGGGGGGGGGGGGGGACAGGTAAACACATCAACTCCAGGTCCCTCTGAGACAGGGTCTACAGGTGAGGGGGGGGGGGGGGACAGGTAAACACATCAACTCCAGGTCCCTCTGAGACAGGGTCTAGAGGTGAGGGGGGGGGGGGGGGGGACAGGTAAACACATCAACTCCAGGTCCCTCTGAGACAGGGTCTACAGGTGAGGGGGGGGGACAGGTAAACACATCAACTCCAGGTCCCTCTGAGACAGGGTCTACAGGTGAGGGGGGGGGGGGGGACACAGGTAAACACATCAACTCCAGGTCCCTCTGAGACAGGGTCTACAGGTGAGGGGGGGGGACAGGTAAACACATCAACTCCAGGTCCCTCTGAGACAGGGTCTACAGGTGAGGGGGGGGGGGGGGGACACAGGTAAACACATCAACTCCAGGTCCCTCTGAGACAGGGTCTACAGGTGAGGGGGGGGGGGGGACAGGTAAACACATCAACTCCAGGTCCCTCTGAGACAGGGTCTACAGGTGAGGGGGGGGGGGGACACAGGTAAACACATCAACTCCAGGTCCCTCTGAGACAGGGTCTACAGGTGAGGGGGGGGGGGGGACACAGGTAAACACATCAACTCCAGGTCCCTCTGAGACAGGGTCTACAGGTGAGGGGGGGGACACAGGTAAACACATCAACTCCAGGTCCCTCTGAGACAGGGTCTACAGGTGAGGGGGGGGGACAGGTAAACACATCAACTCCAGGTCCCTCTGAGACAGGGTCTACAGGTGAGGGGGGGGGACAGGTAAACACATCAACTCCAGGTCCCTCTGAGACAGGGTCTACAGGTGAGGGGGGGGACAGGTAAACACATCAACTCCAGGTCCCTCTGAGACAGGGTCTACAGGTGAGGGGGGGGGGACAGGTAAACACATCAACTCCAGGTCCCTCTGAGACAGGGTCTACAGGTGAGGGGGGGGGGGGGACACAGGTAAACACATCAACTCCAGGTCCCTCTGAGACAGGGTCTACAGGTGAGGGGGGGGGGGGGACAGGTAAACACATCAACTCCAGGTCCCTCTGAGACAGGGTCTACAGGTGAGGGGGGGGGGGGACAGGTAAACACATCAACTCCAGGTCCCTCTGAGACAGGGTCTACAGGTGAGGGGGGGGGGGGACAGGTAACACATCAACTCCAGGTCCCTCTGAGACAGGGTCTACAGGTGAGGGGGGGGGGACAGGTAAACACATCAACTCCAGGTCCCTCTGAGACAGGGTCTACAGGTGAGGGGGGGGGGACAGGTAAACACATCAACTCCAGGTCCCTCTGAGACAGGGTCTACAGGTGAGGGGGGGGGGGGGACACAGGTAAACACATCAACTCCAGGTCCCTCTGAGACAGGGTCTACAGGTGAGGGGGGGGGCAAGTAAACACATCAACTCCAGGTCCCTCTGAGACAGGGTCTACAGGTGAGGGGGGGGACAGGTAAACACATCAACTCCAGGTCCCTCTGAGACAGGGTCTACAGGTGAGGGGGGGGGGCAAGTAAACACATCAACTCCAGGTCCCTCTGAGACAGGGTCTACAGGTGAGGGGGGGGGGGACAGGTAAACACATCAACTCCAGGTCCCTCTGAGACAGGGTCTACAGGTGAGGGGGGGGGACAGGTAAACACATCAACTCCAGGTCCCTCTGAGACAGGGTCTACAGGTGAGGGGGGGGGGACAGGTAAACACATCAACTCCAGGTCCCTCTGAGACAGGGTCTACAGGTGAGGGGGGGGACAGGTAAACACATCAACTCCAGGTCCCTCTGAGACAGGGTCTACAGGTGAGGGGGGGGGACAGGTAAACACATCAACTCCAGGTCCCTCTGAGACAGGGTCTACAGGTGAGGGGGGGGGACAGGTAAACACATCAACTCCAGGTCCCTCTGAGACAGGGTCTACAGGTGAGGGGGGGGGACAGGTAAACACATCAACTCCAGGTCCCTCTGAGACAGGGTCTACAGGTGAGGGGGGGGGACAGGTAAACACATCAACTCCAGGTCCCTCTGAGACAGGGTCTACATGTGAGGGGGGGGGGACAGGTAAACACATCAACTCCAGGTCCCTCTGAGACAGGGTCTACAGGTGAGGGGGGGGGACACAGGTAAACACATCAACTCCAGGTCCCTCTGAGACAGGGTCTACAGGTGAGGGGGGGGGGGGACACAGGTAAACACATCAACTCCAGGTCCCTCTGAGACAGGGTCTACAGGTGAGGGGGGGGGGACACAGGTAAACACATCAACAGGTCCGTTCACCTGTTAGACCACACATACCTACTCTACCTCTATCCAATCACGTGTCTTCAGTTGTCACAAGCCCCGCCCCTTGACATTTCTACTGCCCGGGAGCTGGCTCTGTTAAAATGGTTTGAGGCGCTCGTTGTGTTTAGTGAGGACAGGTGTCCCTCACCTGGTTGTGTTTAGTGAGGACAGGTGTCCCTCACCTGGTTGTGTTTAGTGAGGACAGGTGTCCCTCACCTGGTTGTGTTTAGTGAGGACAGGTGTCCCTCACCTGGTTGTGTTTAGTGAGGACAGGTGTCCCTCACCTGGTTGTGTTTAGTGAGGACAGGTGTCCCTCACCTGGTTGTGTTTAGTGAGGACAGACAGGTGTCCCTCACCTGGTTGTGTTTAGTGAGGACAGACAGGTGTCCCTCACCTGGTTGTGTTTAGTGAGGACAGACAGGTGTCCCTCACCTGGTTGTGTTTAGTGAGGACAGACAGGTGTCCCTCACCTGGTTGTGTTTAGTGAGGACAGGTGTCCCTCACCTGGTTGTGTTTAGTGAGGACAGACAGGTGTCCCTCACCTGGTTGTGTTTAGTGAGGACAGACAGGTGTCCCTCACCTGGTTGTGTTTAGTGAGGACAGACAGGTGTCCCTCACCTGGTTGTGTTTAGTGAGGACAGACAGGTGTCCCTCACCTGGTTGTGTTTAGTGAGGGACAGACAGGTGTCCCTCACCTGGTTGTGTTTAGTGAGGACAGACAGGTGTCCCTCACCTGGTTGTGTTTAGTGAGGACAGACAGGTGTCCCTCACCTGGTTGTCGGGCAGACCGCTGTTCTCAGGAACGAACAGCGTTGATTGGACGGTCAGGTTGCTGAGGCGCTTCACGAACTGTTTCCCCGACTCCGACAGCTGGGAGCTGTTCAGGATTTGCTGCAGAGACACAGTGAGATCTGTGACTCAGCTATAAATCATTAAAAGTGACTCAGCAGAAAACAAAGACTCACTGTGAGGAAGTTGGAGAAGCTGGCTGTTGATTGGAGGACCTGCATCAGGTTTCCTGTGCAGCTGAAGCCGTCTCCAACGTATCCGGGCTTACACTCACACACCACCTCTGAAACACACGCATGCACACGCACACGCACACGCGCACACGCACACGCACACGCACACGCACACGCACACGCACACACACACACACACACACACTGCTCATCTCTAACATCATAACGATATAACCTCCTCACCCTTGATGACGTTGTTTCTAAAGTGTGTAGATGAAATGTATTATTATATATTATTAAACTCCCTCCTCACCCTTCATCCGGTAGCAGAAGGCGTCCCAGGTCTCGCTCTGGTTCTTCCGGACCCCGTAGTCCACGATGCCGACGTGTCCGAAGCCACAGCTGGGGCTGGGGAAGGTGGTGGGGTACCCGACCCGGGCCTGGGCCAGCCAGCCGGCAGAACACATGTTGAGCCCGCCCTGAAGAGAGAGAGACCAGCTGGGGTTCAGAGACCTGGTCCTGGTGCTGGGACCGCAGAGATAACCAGAGACTGGAGACCTGGTCCTGGTGCTGGGACCGCAGAGAGAACCAGAGACTGGAGACCTGGTCCTGGTGCTGGGACCGCAGAGAGAACCAGAGACCGGAGACCTGGTCCTGGTGCTGGGACCCTGATGTCAGGCTAAAACGTCCTGGATCCCCTCACTGAAGATCCCATTGCACGGACCACAGAGATAAAGTTTCCATACAGATTACAGCTTTAAAGTAGGGATGCCAGCGATTATTCGTTACAGTCTCCATAATCGAAGATTCTTTTTAAAATTCGATTTTATTTATATATTTTTTTATTATTACTTATGTTTTTCTTTTTTTTCCTGGCTTAGTTTCAACCAAAATATAGAATAATGCTAATAATAGTAATAGTATTAATAATTGTAAATGGCCATTGGTCACACCACCAGTTTGTTTTACTGTAAACTTGGAGGAAGCCGCGCAGCCTGCTACTACTTTAGAGCCGTGTGAGCTAACCCGGAGCTGAGGAGGGGCGTGAGGAGGGGCGTGGGGAGGGGCGTGGGGAGGGGCGTGAGGAGGGGCGTGAGGAGGGCGTGGGGAGGGGCGTGAGGAGGGGCGTGGGGAGGGGCGTGAGGAGGGGCGTGGGGAGGGGCGTGGGGAGGGGCGTGAGGGAGGGGCGTGGGGAGGGGCGTGAGGAGGGGCGTGTGAGGAGGGGCGTGGGGGGTAGGGGCGTGAGGAGGGGCGTGGGGAGGGGCGTGAGGAGGGGCGTGGGGGGAGGGGCGTAGGGGAGGGGAGGGCGTGAGGGAGGGGCGTGGGGAGGGGCGTGGGAGGGGCGTGGGAGGGCGTGAGGAGGGGCGTGAGGATGGCGTGGGGAGGGCGTGGGGTAGGGGCGTGAGAGGGGCGTGGGGAGGGAGTGAGAGGGGCGTGAGGAGGGGCGTGGGGAGGGGCGTGAGGAGGGGAGTGGGGAGGGGTGGGGAGGGGAGTGAGAGGGGCGGGGGAGGGGAGTGAGGAGGGGCGTGGAGGGGGGAGGGGCGTGAGGGGGGCGTGGGGAGGGGGTGAGGAGGGGCGTGGGGAGGGCGTGGGGAGGGGCGTGAGGAGGGGGTGGGAGGGGCGTGAGGAGGGGCGTGAGGAGGGGCGTGGGGAGGGGAGTGAGGGAGGGGCGGGGGGAGGGGCGTGGGGGGGGGGGGGGAGGGGCTGGGGAGGGGCGTGGAGGAGGGGCGTTGGGTGGGTGGGGAGGGGCGTGGGAGGGGCGTGAGGAGGCGTGGGGGAGGGGCGTGAGGAGGGCGGGGGGGGAGGGGCGGAGGAGGGGGGGGGAGGGGCGAGGGGCGTGGGAGGGCGTGGGGGGCGTGGGGAGGGGCTCCTTATTTTCATCTAAAGTAACAGACAGAGAATCAGCACTTTGGAAACAGGGCTGAAACAGAGGGGATTATGGGATGCTGCAATGATCTGTTTGGTGTTTCAGCCAATCAGAGACACGGCTCTGGATATATCTGAGACCCTGTGATATAGTGATGAAGAGGAGGATGATAGGGGACCTTTAATTTAAGACTTTAACCTATACCTCTTTGATTTGAGGGAATATCCTTGTTTGTTTTCTTGTTAACGAACTGGTTGTGAAGTGTCCGCGGTGCGTTCACTGACCTGCTGAGCGTAGGACAGCTGGGTGTATGTAGCCGCGGTGCGTTCACTGACCTGCTGAGCGTAGGACAGCTGGGTGTATGTAGCCGCGGTGCGTTCACTGACCTGCTGAGGAGTTAGGGACAGCTGGGTGTATGTAGCCGCGGTGCGTTCACTGACCTGCTGAGCGTAGGACAGCTGGGTGTATGTAGCCGCGGTGCGTTCACTGACCTGCTGAGCGTAGGACAGCTGGGTGTATGTAGCCGCGGTGCGTTCACTGACCTGCTGAGCGTAGGACAGCTGGGTGTATGTAGCCGCGGTGCGTTCACTGACCTGCTGAGCGTAGGACAGCTGGGTGTATGTAGCCAGGCTCCCTCCCTCTGCAGCGCAGGCCGTCTGAGCCGAGCTGAAGTTCAGCCGGTACTGACCGCTGTCCGAGCGCAGGTGATACACACCGAGAGTAGAGTCTACACACACACACACACACACACACACACACACACACACACACACACACACACACACACACACACAACACACACACACACACACCACAACACACACACACCACACACACACACACACGCTTCTAGGTCTTTGGCTCTTTCTGCTGTAACAAATGTACATTCCCCTCTGTGGGACGAATATAGGTATTCTGATTTCTTATATAGTAGCCTATATATGAGTTACCCTGGTGATGCAGGTCGGTGCAGTTTGCGTCCGGGTGGCAGCGCCCGTTGTCATGGAGACAGCGGCTGAGCTGCGCCTGCTTCAGATCACAGATGAGACCGTCTCCAATGTACTGATCCTTACAGGTGCACTTCCTCTTCCCCTGCACACACACACACACACACACCTCTAACCCTGCACACACACACACACACACACACACACACACACACACACACACACACACACACACACACACACACACACACACACACACACACACACACACACACACACACACACACACACACAGAGTATAAGACTATGTTTTAAATGATTACATGATCATTTAGCGGCGCTGTGTTTGTGGCGTTGGCGTTGTTGTGTTAGCTTGTGTTAGCTTGTGTTAGCTTGTGTTAGCGTGTCTCACCGGCGCCGTCATGCTGCAGGCGGCGTGCTCGCTGCAGCCCCCGTTGCCCCTGGCGACGCAGGGGTCCTCAGGTAAGCAGGTGAACCCGTCTCCAGCGTGCCCGTCAGGACAGGTGCAGCTCACCTGCTCCCCGCGCTGAGAGCACCGCGCGAGCCTGGAGCAGCCGCCGTTCCACGTGCTACACAGTTCCACCGCTACAGAACAATACCAGGTATTAATGTTCACTACTTTAGATAGAACATCCAGGTGTTACACAGGTCCACCGCTACAGAACAACCTCATTATTAATGTTCAGAAGCACAACTTTAGTTAGATTTATTCACAAACAGAACTTTATTTAGAAGAAAAATCTAATCTAAATTGGAGAAATTGTGAATGTTTTGGGAACATTTTGATACAATTATTTGAGAATATTTTACTTTTTTCACCCATTTAATGAATTGTATAATTTTAGCAAATGATCATTTCCATGCAGAGTCACCGGTCACATCTCAGAGATTTACGATTTTACGAGTAATTGATCGTGTTTGTATGATTTTAATAATCTGCATATATTTACCTGTGCAGGTGAGCCCGTCTCCCAGGTAGAAGGGCCGGCAGACGCAGGTGTTGTTCTGCTGGCAGACGGCTTTAGGGGCGCAAGGGGGGGCGCACTGGACACCTCCACCTGCAGGGACACACACTTTAACACACCTCCACCTGCAGGGACACACACTTTAACACACCTCCACCTGCAGGGACACACACTTTAACACACCTCCACCTGCAGGGACACACACTTTAACACACCTCCACCTGCAGGGACACACACTTTAACACACCTCCACCTGCAGGGACACACACTTTAACACACCTCCACCTGCAGGGACACACACTTTAACACACCTCCACCTGCAGGGACACACACTTTAACACACCTCCACCTGCAGGGACACACACCTTAACACACCTCCACCTGCAGGGACACACACCTTAACACACCTCCACCTGCAGGGACACACACCTTAACACACCTCCACCTGCAGGGACACACACCTTAACACACCTCCACCTGCAGGGACACACACCTTAACACACCTCCACCTGCAGGGACACACACTTTAACACACCTCCACCTGCAGGGACACACACTTTAACACACCTCCACCTGCAGGGACACACACTTTAGCCCCGGCCACACGAGGACGATAACGCAAACAGACCGCAATCGTTATCAAAAAGGTCTTCCGTCCACAGGCACCAGGCACCAGAAACGTGTCCGTTCACACGAGACCGCTCGAAAGTGCTGGAGATGCTGTAGTACATATGCCAGGCCTGTAAGTGGCGCTGAAGTCTGCCACAAAAGCAGCGAAGAAGACTTGGTTACCATGGTAACCCTTCTGTTTATTCTCCGCTGTGGCTTTCTCTCTCCCTCCCCGAGGCAAGCGTTTGCTCCCGCTGCTTTAATTCAATGCAATCCCTCCCCGTCGAGGCAAGCACTGTAATTCTCTCCGGTTAGTCCACCAGCAGATGACAAACACCCACCTCTCCGCCTCTTCCAAGGAACCAGGGGACCGTGCGGCAGAGTTTCAGTTTCAGTTTCTTTCGCTGGTCAAGATGTCCGTTAAAGTTTAAATCTTCCGGACAAAATGAGAAAAGTGCCGGTCAAAGGTCTTCTTTGTTATTTATTGAGCTTTAAAACAAATGAATAACGACTCTATATAATAATATAAGAATAAAAAACGGAGCCTCTCTTTTCCTCCCCCTCTCCTGAGAGCCCAGCAGCTGATCTCTGAGCAGGAGAGGTGGGGCTATTGCGTCATCGTTATCAGGACATGATGGTATAGGCGTACACACGGAGCCGTTTGCCCCCAGAGCGTTTCGTCTGCAGATCTACCTCGGGACCCGTTATCGTTATCGTTTTCTGCGTTTCCGTGTCGGCCTCGTGTGGCCGAACCGTCTATCTGATAGTGAACTGTAGCAGATACGACCGTTATCGTCCTCGTGTGGCCGGGGCTTTTAACTCAGACAACAAGCAGGACTTCACCTCTTCAGAACTGCTTTTTAATGTTGTGTTTTATATATTTTAAGTGTGTTGTTGTAATTATGTTTTAATAATTGTTTTACTTTGTAAAGTGTCTTTGAGTTCCAAGAAAAGCACTCTATAAATAAAATGCATTATTATTATTATTCCTGTTGGACTTCTGTTGACTTCCTGTTGGACTCACCCAGCTCGGTGTCGCACTTGGTTCCGGTCCAGCCCGCCTCGCAGAAACAGGACCCGGACCCTCTGAGTCCGTCCTCACAGGATCCAGAGGAGCAGCTGCAGGCTGAGGGACACATATTTATGTATAAAAGACATCAACAATTGCATTTTGGATGATAGGAGACCTCTAAAGCAGGGGTTCCCAACCCCCGGGCCGCGGACTGGTACCGGGCCGCAGAGGTGTTACTGCCGGGCCGCGGAGGTGTTACTGCCGGGCCGCGGAGGTCTTACTGCCGGGCCGCGGAGGTGTTACTGCCGGGCCGCGGAGGTGTTACTGCCGGGCCGCGGACTGGTACCGGGCCGCGGAGGTGTTACTGCCGGGCCGCGGAGGTCTTACTGCCGGGCCGCGGAGGTCTTACTGCCGGGCCGCGGAGGTGTTACTGCCGGGCCGCGGAGGTGTTACTGCCGGGCCGCGGAGGTCTTACTGCCGGGCCGCGGAGGTCTTACTGCCGGGCCGCGGAGGTCTTACTGCCGGGCCGCGGAGGTCTTACTGCCGGGCCGCGGAATAGCTGTGAGTTTATCGTAATATTTGCAGAATTCTAAATATATAAAAATATATTTATCATAATGTTTTTTTCAAAAAGTGTTTAATTGTCGCACCTATGCCACCAGTCATATTATTTCATCCAGTAGCTAGTTCATCTTTCACCAGAAAACCGTTGAAAATGGCTTTTATGATGTTCCGAGGGATTCGGCGGCTCAGCCTGAGGTCTCAGCCTCTTGTGCGCACGAGCATGTTACCGGTGGGCCAAGTAGGAAGAGGAGCGCACAGGAGACAACTGTTTGATTGCAGACTGTTATGTTTATGTGGGGAAATGGTGGTGCATACATTATTTGAGATATATTTCAAACTCGGACTTCATTTTAAGGACATGTCGGCCAGGGGTGTAAAGCTATTTGTTTAAGCACCGGATTGGCAAAACAGGAGAGTAAACCAGTCTGCCTTGATCTGTGGATTCATGTCCGGGACTCTCACGGTATCTGCTGCCCGCAGCTGCTTTATAGAAGGAGACCCTCCTTCACTTCATGAAATGGCTGCAGCACCAGGAGGCAGCAGGACGTATACTCCGCCTCTGAGAAGCACCAGGAGGCAGCAGGACGTATACTCCGCCTCTGAGAAGCACCAGGAGGCAGCAGGACGTATACTCCGCCTCTGAGAAGCACCAGGAGGCAGCAGGACGTATACTCCGCCTCTGAGAAGCACCAGGAGGCAGCAGGACGTATACTCCGCCTCTGAGAAGCACCAGGAGGCAGCAGGACGTATACTCCACCTCTGAGAAGCACCAGGAGGCAGCGGGACGTATACTCCGCCTCTGAGAAGCACCAGGAGGCAGCAGGACGTATACTCCACCTCTGAGAAGCACCAGGAGGCAGCAGGACGTATACTCCACCTCTGAGAAGCACCAGGAGGCAGCGGGACGTATACTCCACCTCTGAGAAGCACCAGCGGGTAAAGAGCTGTGCCTTTTTACGCACCGCCTTCTCTGTGTTTACCTTCATCAGAACAGCTTAGGAGTGACTGCAGGCTGCTACGTGTTAACCACACACACCTCTACACACACCTCTACACACACCTCTACACACACACCTCTACACACACACACACACCTCTACACACACACACATCTCTACACACATCGAACTGCCCGATTATTCCCCTTATTACTCGTTTTATGAAGGAGATGTCAGTCAGTCACCAAGGCGCATGATGTGTGTGTGCTCTGCTCTGCTCAGCTCAGCTCTGTGTGTTCGGTGTGTTTGTGTCTGTCCGACACCGGCATATGTTTTCAAATTACCATGAACAGTCATTTACACTCATCTGGCTAACTCCATAGGTATATGTGGGTGTTCCCAAAATAAATTAGTTTAATCTTAATCTCGATGTAGTGCTAAATGCTGTCGGAGTGCACCGGAACGAACAACACTATCATAATATCTTCTGAAAACAAACACACACACACACACACACACACACACACACACACACACACACACACACACACACACACACACACACACACACACACACACACACACACACCATAATACGCCTTCTCCTCGTTTTCCCAGCATTCACTGATTATCCGTAAATCATACAAACAAAACCAAAACGTTGAATAACGTCGTATTTTTTTTTTTTCGTTTTTCTGTTTTTCTGAATCCAAAGAAACGACACCGGTTCTTCTTCTTCTTTTTTTTTTTTAACGTTGTTAATATGTTTTGGATGCATATTGTTCGAGTATTTGTTCAGGCTGTTACCTACAATTAGCCTCTGTTGCCACCTGCTGGTGAGTAAATATTAAAGTCAGTTCAAATTGACATCCGGTCCGTGATTCGCATGTATCTGCCGGTCCTTGGCTAAAGGTTGGGAACCCCTGCTCTAAAGCTCTGGGGGGTAAACAGGAAGTGGTCACTCACCTGTGCAGCTCGCTCCGAAGAACCCGGCGCTGCACGTCTCACAGGCCACGCCCCCAAAGCCCGGGTCACAGGTACAGGTGCCGTTACCAAGGTGACCGTCGTCACATTTACCGTGGTTACTGCAGGGGGCGCCGACCCCCCCGGGACACTCTGACGGAGGAACAAACAAAAACTGTTGTTATTTATATTTCTTCTTTATTGGTTTTATTAACGATGTTCTTCCTGCTTCCTGTACCCAGACAGTCGCGTCCGTGGTAACCACGGCAACACCTGGGCTGCCAGAAGTGGACAGTGCAGACGCTGAAACACCCCGAGTTCCTGGAGACGAACACTGAGGGGAGGTCACACTTCTTCATCTCCTGAGAGACAAAGAGACAGAGAGTTAGAGACAGAGACAAAGAGACAGACAGACGGTTGATGGTCTCTGAGGGACTCAGACTTTCTGTTTGGACCCGTCAGAGAGACAGAGACAGAGAGTTAGAGACAAAGAGTCAGAGACAAAGAGTCAGAGACAAAGAGTCAGAGACAGAGAGACATAAATAAAGAGTCAGAGACAAAGAGTTAGAGACAGACAGACGGTTGATGGTCTCTGAGGGACTCAGACCTTCTGTTTGGACCCGTCAGAGAGACAGAGACAAAGAGTCAGAGACAGAGAGTCAGAGACAGAGAGTCAGAGACAAAGAGTCAGAGACAAAGAGTCAGAGACAAAGAGTCAGAGACAAAGAGTCAGAGACAAAGAGTCAGAGACAGAGAGTCAGAGACAGAGAGTCAGAGACAAAGAGTCAGAGACAAAGAGTCAGAGACAAAGAGTCAGAGACAGACAGACGGTTGATGGTCTCTGAGGGACTCAGACCTTCTGTTTGGACCCGTCTGGACAGCGGAGGGAGCTAGTGCTGCACAGCCCACAGCTCATCTACCACAGAAGAAGAAACATCATCAGTGGGCTCCAACAACACTCTGAAACACAGGAAGTCTGAGTGGTTTTAAGGGGGTCCACCTGCAGGTCGAAGGTGGTCTGCGTGTCACAGCGCCCCCCCAGGCTGGGAGGCGTCAGCAGGCAGTCAATCCCGTACGCCATCCCCCCGCTGAACACCAGGTGTCTCTGCACGATGCGACACCTCCCGTCGTTCAGGAAGATCTGCCCCTGTGAGAGGAGAAACCACCAATCAATCAATCAATCAGTCAATCAATCAATCAATCAATCAACAACTTTATTAATCAATTGGTTATGAGCAGCGTGTGTCATGTACACAGACAGGAAGAAAACACTCAAACACCCCTGGATGTGGATCTTTCCAATTGACACCATAAATAGTTCATAGCATCACAATAAGTAAGTAAATAAATAATCAAATGAAATAACCTATCAAGGATTTTAAAGTTTGAGTGCAGAGGGGACGAATGAGAAGCGATTGGTCTTAAGAGCAGAGAGAGCACATCTACGCCCTGATGGCAGCAGATGAAATTCATCTGAAGAACATGACCTGGAGAGTTCTCTGCTTTCCACAGAATCAACTCTTCTTCTACACTTTACTACCTGCTGCTGTACTCACCATGGCGTCCGCCCCCCCGCAGGTGAAGGACAGCAGGGAACCCTGCAGAGTCCGGACCCCCTCCTGGTGGATCAGACCCTCAGCATACACCTGGGGGGAAACATGCTTTATTTAGAGTTCTTGTTCACCTTCCAGTCCCTGAGGTATAGTTAGTTCTGGCTCACTTTCTGGACTTGGTACCTTGGGTATAGTTAGTTCTGGCTCACCTTCTGGACTTGGTACCTTGGGTTTAGTTAGTTCTGGCTCACTTTCTGGACTTGGTACCTTGGGTTTAGTTAGTTCTGGCTCACCTTCTGGACTTGGTACCTTGGGTTTAGTTAGTTCTGGCTCACCTTCTGGACTTGGTACCTTGGGTTTAGTTAGTTCTGGCTCACCTTCTGGACTTGGTACCTTGGGTTTAGTTAGTTCTGGCTCACCTTCTGGACTTGGTACCTTGGGTTTAGTTAGTTCTGGCTCACCTTCTGGACTTGGTACCTTGGGTTTAGTTAGTTCTGGCTCACCTTCTGGACTTGGTACCTTGGGTTTAGTTAGTTCTGGCTCACCTTCTGGACTTGGTACCTTGGGTTTAGTTAGCTCTAGCTCACCTTCTGGCCCTGCAGGACGTGGTGCTTCAGGTTTAGTTAGCTCTAGCTCACCTTCTGGCCCTGCAGGACGTGGTGCTTCAGGTTTAGTTAGCTCTAGCTCACCTTCTGGCCCTGCAGGACGTGGTGCTTCAGGTTTAGTTAGCTCTAGCTCACCTTCTGGCCCTGCAGGACGTGGTGCTTCAGGTTTAGTTAGCTCTAGCTCACCTTCTGGCCCTGCAGGACGTGGTGCTTCAGGTTTAGTTAGCTCTGGCTCACCTTCTGGCCCTGCAGGACGTGGTGCTTCAGGTTTAGTTAGCTCTAGCTCACCTTCTGGCCCTGCAGGACGTGGTGCTTCAGGTTTACTCAGAATTTTTCTTCCACACTTGCCCCTGCTAACATCTCAGTAAATGAGCTAGTAGATCATTTTAATTTAAAAATTAAAAATGTTATAGATACCATTGCTCCAACTAAGGTAAAGGAAGTGACTGGGAAGAAAATATCTCCATGGAGAAAGGCCATGACTGTGAGAACAGAAAAAAAGAGAGTGTCGAAAAGCTGAACGCAGGTGGCGAAAAACAAATCTCCAGGTTCACTTTGAAATCTATAAAGAGAGACTTGGCCTTTATCATTTGGAATTGAAAAATGCCCGACAGTCTTTCTTCTCTGACATCATTACCAACGCACGTGCCTTGTTTGCTACCGTCGACAGACTAACTAACTGGATGTGTTCCAGTCAGGCTTTCGTCCAAACCACAGCACTGAGACTGCTCTTGTAAAGGTCTTCAATGACATCCACTTAAACACAGACAGTGGCAGAACTTCAGTGTTAGTATTATTAGATCTCAGTGCTGCGTTTGATACTGTTGACCACAACATATTACTAGACCGACTAGAAAACTGGGTGGGACTTTCGGCAACAGTTCTAAATTGGTTTGAGTCCTACTTAAAGGACAGAAACAACTTTGTTTCTATAGGTAAATACACATCTGAGTTGACAAATATGACATGTGGGGTTCCTCAAGGCTCCATCTTGGGGCCTCTTCTCTTTAACGTCTACATGCTACCACTCGCTCAGATAATGAAGAACAACAAAATAAGTTACCATAGCTATGCGGATGACACACACATTTACGTAACCATTTCACCAGGAGACTATGCTCCAATTCAAACACTGAGTAAGTGCATTGAACAAATCAATGACTGGATGTGTCAGAACTTTCTCCAATTAAACAAAGATAAAACTGAGGTAATGGTTTTTGGAGCCAAGGCAGAACGTATAAAAGTTAGCGCTGAGCTTCAGTCTGCAATGTTCAAAACAACAGATACAGCCAGAAATCTAGGTGTAGTCATGGACTCTGACCTGAGTTTCAACAGTCACATTAAAACAGTTACTAAATCAGCCTACTATCACCTAAAGAACATATCTAGGATTAAAGGACTAATGTCACAGCAGGATTTGGAAAAACTTGTCCATGCTTTTATCTTCAGTAGACTGGACTACTGCAATGGTGTCTTCACAGGTCTCACTAACACATCTATTAGAAAGCTGCAGCTAATTCAGAACGCCGCTGCTCGAGTCCTCACTAACACTAAGAAAGTGGATCACATCACTCCTGTTCTGAAGTCCTTACACTGGTTCCTCACTAACACTAAGAAAGTGGATCACATCACTCCTGTTCTGAAGTCCTTACACTGGTTCCTCACTGACACTAAGAAAGTGGATCACATCAGTCCTGTTCTGAAGTCTTTACACTGGTTCCTCACTAACACTAAGAAAGTGGATCACATCAGTCCTGTTCTGAAGTCCTTACACTGGTTCCTCACTGGCACTAAGAAAGTGGATCACATCACTCCTGTTCTGAAGTCTTTACACTGGTTCCTCACTGACACTAAGAAAGTGGATCACATCACTCCTGTTCTGAAGTCCTTACACTGGTTCCTCACTGACACTAAGAAAGTGGATCACTCCTGTTCTGAAGTCTTCACACTGGTTCCTCACTAACACTAAGAAAGTGGATCACTCCTGTTCTGAAGTCTTCACACTGGTTCCTCACTAACACTAAGAAAGTGGATCACTCCTGTTCTGAAGTCTTCACACTGGTTCCTCACTAACACTAAGAAAGTGGATCACTCCTGTTCTGAAGTCCTTACACTGGTTCCTCACTGACACTAAGAAAGTGGATCACTCCTGTTCTGAAGTCCTTACACTGGTTCCTCACTGACACTAAGAAAGTGGATCAGTCCTGTTCTGAAGTCCTTACACTGGTTCCTCACTAACACTAAGAAAGTGGATCACTCCTGTTCTGAAGTCCTTACACTGGCTTCCTGTGTGTCAAAGAATAGATTTCAAAATATTGCTGCTGGTTTATAAAGCTTTGAATGGTTTAGGCCCAAAATACATGTCTGACCTACTGCTAAATTATGAACCATCCAGAACTCTCAGGTCTTCAGGGACTGGTCAGCTTTCTGTCCCCAGAGTCAGAACTAAACATGGTAAAGCAGCGTTCAGTTATTATGCTCCAAATATCTGGATCAAACTCCCAGAGACCTGCAGGTCCGCTGCAACTCTTACTACTTTTAAATCCAGGCTGAAGACTTTTCTTTTTGCCGCCGCTTTTAATTGAACTATTCACATCTTAAACTGCACTGTAACTTTTATCCATGTATTTTTTCTTTTAATGTTTATTTTATTATCTTTTCTTTTTAATGACTGATTTTAAATGCCATTTTCTGAATGTCTTTCATTTTTTGTAAAGCACTTTGAATTGCCTTGTGTTGAAAGGTGCTATATAAATAAACTTGCCTTGCCTTGCCTCAGCTCTAGCTCACCTTCCGGCCCTGCAGGATGTGGTACTTCAGGTACTCGGTCAGCTGGGCCCGGTTGTCTGGGTGAAACAGGAAGTCCCTCTGCTCCTTCGGCAGGGCGGCCATGACGTTGTCTGAAGGCATGAAGAGCGTCACCGGCTGAAAGATGTGATCCTGAAGCAGGTCCATCAGCCCGGAGTCCTGAAACCAGGAGACTCATGCATTCATTCTCTGACTTTAGAGATGAGAGCTGAAGGACTCAACAGGATATCATCACCAGCGTTAGACATTGTGTTATTTTCTCACCTGCAGCAGTTTGAAGAAGGTTTTATACCCGTGACGCTCGGCCACGTCCGTCAGGTTCAGCTGCGTCACAGAAACATCCAGAATGTGAGTTTACAGGAGATGAATCCCACATAATAAAAATAAATGTCATCCGTTTGAGGTTCTGACCAGAGTGGCGGGAAGATTCTCGACCGGTACGGGAGACACCAGGAACTTGCTGATCTCGTGGAAGATCCCGTTCACGCTGACGCCGTTACTGTACGTCACGTTAGCATCGTTGATGAAGATGCTGCCCTGAAAGTACCAATAGAGGACGTTAGCATTTATCCCGAGGTCTTCCAGTCTATCTGGTTGATTTGGGGTTATAATGAATGCATAAATATTACGTTAATGTTAATCAGAGGGTCACTAAAGTAAAAATATGTTCATCGGAAAAAGTCGGTCACCAGGGTTTGATTTCTCAGAGAATAAAAAGGTAAGGATTTCCAACATTAGGGTCAGTAAAGGAGCCGCTAGCGTTAGCATTAGCTGGCTGATTGGGTAAGGGATTATAAAGAAGGCATTTCTCATTCATGTTCACATTTTAGAAAATACCTTAATAAACTGATAATAGAAACAGATTTTTCACGACTACTTGATCGATAGATTGTTAGTGTTAGCCCCGCCCCTTGCCCAGACGCTGCTCTCTGATTGGGTTATTTTAAATAAGGATTCTAATCAAGTTTTTGTAAGGGCTACTAGAGTTCATGTGATATGATGAATCTGTTATGGCTCCTTAGATCCAGGCTGCTCTGTGATTGGTCACCTCCTGGCTGCGGGTGGTCATCACGGTGCCCGACAGCGAGGTGAGGTTTCGGGGTCGGGCGAGGTCGGCGGGCAGCAGCGTGTGACACATCACGATGTGGCTGCGCAGCACCGAGGCTAATAGCTCGCGGTGCGCTGGGCCCGTCATCGCACGCTTCTGCAGGAAACAGCAAGAAAACAACAACAATAACAACTAGAGAATGCAATTCCTGAAGAAATTGCTTGTGGGAATGAAGAAAGTGAAGAATTTAGATTGAAATGATACATGAACACTGGGGGCTTGAATGTGTGATGAGTGAAGAAAAGAAAGTAAAAAGGCTTGGAAAAGCAGCAGAATATTTGAACTGCAAACTTTTGAACTAACTTGATGGTGAATGATCTGTCGCCATGGCAACGGCATTTGATGACATCCCATAATAAGCTTAGATGCGTTGATGGCTGCATCGTTACCAAACCTGTGAAGTTTTGGGCCATTTGGAGCATTTTCACTGAAGTTATGAGAATACCGTGTTTCATGGCGGGCATTGTGTTGCCATGGCAACGGCATGTCCCGTAGATGTCTTCACGGCTGGACTGTTAGCACACATGTGAAGTTTGAGCACTTTTTGAACATTTTCATAGGAGTTATAGCGACATCGTCTTTTATGGCGAGGGATGCGTTTCCATGGAAACGGCATATGGTGAGATCTCAGATTTGGCGTAGAGCTGTTGAGGCATGGACCGGTGATATACAAGTGAAGATTGGGGGACGATCGGACCGTGTCCATTGGACTTACAGCAACATCGTGCTTCATGGCGAGTGGTCTGTCGCCATGGCAACGGCATTTGATGACACCCCATAATACGGTTAGATGCGTTGATGGCTGCATCATTACCAAACCTGTGAAGTTTTGGGCCGTTTGAAGCATTTTCACTGAAGTTATGAGAAAACCGTGTTTCATGGCGAGCCTTGTGTTACCATGACAACGGCATTTGAAGAAACCCCATAATTGACGTAGAGCAGTTGAGGGCTGGACCGGTGATATACAAGCGAAGTTTGGGGGACGATCGGACCGTTTCCATTGGACTTACAGCGACATCGTGCTTCATGGCGAGTGGTCTGTCGCCATGGCAACGGCATTTGATGACACCCCATAATAAGCTTAGATGCGTTGATGGCTGCATCGTTACCAAACCTGTCAATGTGACATCATCGTGTTCCATGACACAGGTGTTTATATTTGAGCTAACGACGACAGCTGTGTGTCACCAATAATGTATAAAATAGGTGGAACATGTTGAAGTCAGTATGAAGTCTCCATCAGACAGAAAAGAATAGGCTCAGACAGTCTGTTAAACTCCAGTGACCACGTCGTTAGCTCAAACACGAACACCTGTGTGTTATGACATCATCGTGTTCCATGACACAGGTGTTTATATTTGAGCTAACGAGCTCTGTAGAGATCAAAGGTTTGCATTGTTCTGAATGAGAGATAAACCTCTTACATGTGAACGTTTTGTGGAAGAATGATAACAGATATCTCTGAAATTTCAAAACGTGAAGCATGTCAAGGAAGTTGAGTATCTGAAGTGTAATTTTTGTGTACTTTCGGGTTAATAATGTGGCCTTTTTGGCAGTTTAACTAAAGGTGTGCGGCTGCTGCTGTGAGGAAATATCAGCCTGAAATTACAATGGGCTTTAATGGAGACATGTTGAACGTTTTTGTCACTTCATGGCATTTTGTTTAATTATTTGTTGCTTAATTATTTGTCATTTTTCAAGCTACGAGATGTTTTCCTACGTTTGTCATGAAAAATTATGTCTCAAGAATGTAGGGTTTGGGAATTATGGCAGTTTAAAAAAAAATAATATGAAGGCACATTTCAAGATTTCCTACCCTCTAGCTGTGACATCACGCACTCTAGTTAATGTTAAAATCTGAAGAAAACCTCTTTACCAAGGTCTGAACAATGTTTAATATCTCTAAAAGTAAGAATCAGATTTAAAAGTTGTGTTACACGAATAATGTCAGAAAGATGTGTAACATTTTAAAGTTGGAATGAGGTTTCTGAGTGAAAGTATGAATGAACAGTTAGCAGTTGAAGTCGCATGAAGATTTGTTGAAGTCTGAAGAATGTCTCCATTGACTTCCATGTTAAAAATGGGATGTATTATGGGATGTATCTCTGGAATTATGAAAGTTATGAATGAGAAAAGTAATAGCCTGCGATTCCCGACCGAGCTGAACGTTTTGATGTTTGAACGGAGTTTCTGCGATGTTGAATGTGGGAGGATAAGACGGACAAAATAAGTGGGTGGAATAATAATACGAATTTTGTCCGTAGCATAACATATAGTGGGAATGCTGTATCAGCATTCCCACTAAATAACTGTTGGGAACATTCTGAATGTCCTCTTCCAATCTGAGAGTCACATGATAACAAAGGTATCCCAACTGTAGCTGTGAACATGACAGGATGTATGATTACCTAGAAGAGCATCAGGACTGTTTGAGGCATATGATAGCTATGTGATGAACATGATGATTCAGCCTCTATGGAGAGAGACATATGACAAGCATGCTCATTTCTGACGTGGAGCTAATCTGAAGTAAACATTGAATACTGCTTTCTATTCCTCCATCTTGTGACTGTGTAACTCCCTCTCTTGGATATCAGCATGTGAAGGACACTGTTCAGGAACTAGCTGATGCTCTGTATGTGATGACTACTTCCATTCTGGAGAGGATCACAGATACATGGATCCTGAGATTGAAGCTCAAGCCGGGGACCAGGGAGAGTTTTCTAACAATAACAAAACTGAACGATGCCTTCAGTGCCATTCAGTAAAGTCAGACACACTGACCTTGTCTCCGGCGGCTCTCAGCACGGTGTTCGCCTCTTTGTTGGGAACAAACACGGTGAACGGGCCGCGGCCCTTCAGAGGGATGTCCGTCAGCTGGAACAGGGTTATATTATTAATATATTCATATTCATTTTATATATATTTAATGTGAATCACCCGCCCTCACCATTAGACTCAGGTAGAAGTCTCTCAGCTTCCTGGCCAGCAGCTCCTGAGAGACACTTCCTGTTGTTATTAACACGTATACAAATATATATAATATACATTAATATATATATAATGATATTTTGTACCCGGGCAACCGTGCCCCTGCAGCTGATCCCGTCCCCGACAAAGTTGTTGTAGCAGGAGCAGCTCCGGACCCCCGGGCCCGTCGTGTTGCAGCGAGCCGACTGGTGGCAGCCCCCGTTCCTCTGAAACACAGAACATTATGAGCACCTGAACGCACCACGGACTGGTGGCAGCCCCCGTTCCTCTGAAACACAGAACATTATGAGCACCTGAACGCACCACGGACTGGTGGCAGCCCCCGTTCCTCTGAAACACAGAACATTATGAGCACCTGAACGCACCACTGTTACCTTTTTGCACAGGTTGATCATCTCACAGGTTTGTCCGTCCCCTTTGAACCCTTTACTGCAGACACAGGAAGTCTGGAGAGAAAAACAACAAAACAAATAAAATAATAACAATAATAATAATATAAAACTTAAATACATGTTATATCATTTTAACCGTGTAATAGTGGCATTGAGTCGAACCTTGTTGGGCCCGGCGTGGAAGCACTCTGCGTCGGAGTGACAGCCTCCGTTCCCTTGCAGGCACGGGTTTATTTCTGAGGGGAAACACAAGAAATCCTACAGCACTCGAACGCACCATGCCAAAATAATAATAATAATAATATTGAAAAAAATCTAAAATAATATTTTCAGTTTTAATAATAATAATAATGAAAGAAATAATAAACAAAAAAATATATAAAATATTTACCGACACACACGAGCCCGTCCCCGGTGTGTCCGGCCGTGCACACACACTCCCGTTGGCCCGGCAGCGTGCGCTTACACACCGCCAACACACTGCAGCCGCCGTTACCCTGCACACACACATCCACCGCTGCACACACACACACACACACACACACACATACAGGTTTATATTCATCAGCTTCATTTTAAACTGCAGAAGAAGAAGAAACTGTTTCCTGTCACCTGAACAGGAAGTGCCGTTCCCTGTGAATCCGGCGGCGCAGAGGCACTGAGGCGACGAGGATCTGATCACACAGCTGAGGAAGATATATTATTGATAAAGGAATTGATTTATTTATCAGTCTTTGAATTGATATGAAATCACTTTGATATGTCCCTTACTTGGCGCTGGTGTGACACTTCAGGGCTCCACACAGATCCTCAGCTGACGACTCTATCTCTGAAATACATAGCATATCAAATAATGAGAACATAATTACAATTATTGCAATGAAATGATAAAACAATGATCATTCAAAAATAACATAATAAGAAATTATAAGAGTAATAATAAAGTCTCACTCTGGTCACAGAGGACTCCTCTCCAGCCGACGTCACACTCACAGCTGCCGTCTCCCTGCAGACCCTCAGAGCAGCGGCCATGCACACACACACACTCTGCACACACACACACACACACACACATACACACAAACACACAAACACACACACAAACACACAGACACACAAACACACACACACATACACACAAACACACACACACACACACACAGACACACAAACACACACACAAACACACATACACACAAACACACACACACACACACACAAACACACACACACACACACACACACACACACATACACACAAACACACAAACACACACACAAACACACATACACACAAACACACACACACACACAAACACACAAACACACACACACACATACACACAAACACACATACACACACACGCACACACACACACACACAGGCACACACACACGTTTATGAACATGTGTTGTAACCCATGTCTGGATCATTAGTATATATGTATATTAGTATTAGTATATATATATATGTATATATATATATATATATATATGTATATATATATATATATATATATATATATGTACCCTGGTCGCAGTGCACGCCGTACTTCCCGGCGCTGCAGGTCTCGCAGGCGGTGCCTCTGAAGCCCGGGTTGCAGCTGCAGTTTCCGGCGCCGCTGGCTCCGTCCGAGCAGAACCCGTTAGAGGAGCAGGACCGACCCGCTGGACCCGGGCAGGACTCACAGTGAGGCCCGAAGAACCCGGAGCAGCAGCGCCGCACCTGGCCAGCAGGGGGGGAACAGTACTATATTTATCATCATATCATTTATATTTTATAATATTTGTTATTTTTATCATTTTTATTATTTATATATATTTTTAATGACTTTTTAATTATTTATAATATCTATAGTATTTATAATTGATAGTATTTCTGATATGTCTCACCCTGTTCTCCTGCAGGCAGGAGGCTCTGCAGCCGATGGTCAGCAGCCGCTCGCCCTCGAACATGCGGGTGAACATGCACTTCCTGCTGCGCATGGACGTCTGCAGGAAGCAGGAAGTGCATCACGTTAACATCACACTTTACTTCCTGCCACTGAAAGTGATGAAATGTGTTATTCCTCACGTCTGGGCGCGTGGCGTTGGGGCAGATCTTCCCCTGAGGGAACAGGCAGTCCACGCAGCTCCCCTGCAGAGGACAGGAAGTCATGTGTGTTCATATATTATATCATAATAATAATGCAGTTTGATGTGAGAGGTCTTACGGGGGCTTTGGTGAAGGACGAGGCGTCACAGCGGTTCCTGATGATCATCATCACGGCCGACACGCCGTGAACCACCCCGTGAGCGCTGAGGAGGGGAGAGGGGGCCAGCTGGGCCTCGTTCACAAACAGCTGCAGCAGACAGGAAGTGACTCATTACAGGAAGTGACTCATTACAGGAAGTGACTCATTACAGGAAGTGACTCATTACAGGGAGTGACTCATTACAGGAAGTGACTCATTACAGGAAGTGACTCATTACAGGAAGTGACTCATTACAGGGAGTGACTCATTACAGGGAGTGACTCATTACAGGAAGTGACTCATTACAGGGAGTGACTCATTACAGGAAGTGACTCATTACAGGGAGTGACTCATTACAGGGAGTGACTCATTACAGGAAGTGACTCATTACAGGAAGTGACTCATTACAGGGAGTGACTCATTACAGGGAGTGACTCATTACAGGAAGTGACTCATTACAGGGAGTGACTCATTACAGGAAGTGACTCATTACAGGGAGTGACTCATTACAGGAAGTGACTCATTACAGGGAGTGACTCATTACAGGGAGTGACTCATTACAGGAAGTGACTCATTACAGGAAGTGACTCATTACAGGAAGTGACTCATTACAGGAAGTGACTCATTACAGGGAGTGACTCATTACAGGGAGTGACTCATTACAGGAAGTGACTCATTACAGGGAGTGACTCATTACAGGGAGTGACTCATTACAGGAAGTGACTCATTACAGGGAGTGACTCATTACATGAGTCATGCTGACTCCCTGTAATGAGTCAGCATGTGAGTCATGCTGACTCATTACAGGGTTCAGGACTCATAATGCTGACTCAGGATTATAGATCATATATATATATATATGATATATGATCATAGAGTATGATCATAGAGTATGATATTGATCATAGAGTATGATATTGATCATAGAGTATGATATTGATCATAGAGTATGATATAGAGTATGATATTGATCATAGAGTATGATATTGATCATAGAGTATGATATAGAGTATGATATTGATCATAGAGTATGATATTGATCATAGAGTATGATATAGAGTATGATATTGATCATAGAGTATGATATAGATTATAGAGTATGATATTGATCATAGAGTATGATATTGATCATAGAGTATGATATTGATCATAGAGTATGATATTGATCAAGGTAGATATTGATCATAGTATGATATAGATAGTGATATTGATCATAGAGTATGATATAGATTATAGAGTATGATATTGATCATAGAGTATGATATTGATCATAGAGTATGATATTGATCAAAGAGTATGATATAGAGTATGATATTGATCATAGAGTATGATATAGATCATAGAGTATGATATTGATCATAGAGTATGATATTGATCATAGAGTATGATATAGATTATAGAGTATGATATTGATCATAGAGTATGATATTGATCATAGAGTATGATATTGATCAAAGAGTATGATATAGAGTATGATATTGATCATAGAGTATGATATTGATCAAAGAGTATGATATAGAGTATGATATTGATCATAGAGTATGATATTGATCATAGAGTATGATAGAGAGTATGATATTGATCATAGAGTATGATATTGATCATAGAGTATGATAGAGAGTATGATATTGATCATAGAGTATGATATTGATCATAGAGTATGATATAGAGTATGATATTGATCATAGAGTATGATATTGATCATAGAGTATGATATTGATCATAGAGTATGATATAGAGTATGATATTGATCATAGAGTATGATATAGATTATAGAGTATGATATTGATCATAGAGTATGATATTGATCATAGAGTATGATATTGATCATAGAGTATGATATAGAGTATGATATTGATCATAGAGTATGATATAGATTAATAGAGTATGATATTGATCATAGAGTATATATTGATCATAGAGTATGATATTGATCATAGAGTATGATATTGATCATAGAGTAATGTATATAGATTATAGAGTATGAATATTGATCATAGAGTATGATATAGATTAGAGTATGATATTGGAAATCATAGTATGATATTGATCATAGAGTATATATGATCATAGAGTATGATATTGATCATAGAGTATGATATAGATTATAGAGTATGATATTGATCATAGAGTATGATATAGATTATAGAGTATGATATTGATCATAGAGTATGATATTGATCATAGAGTATGATATTGATCATAGAGTATGATATTGATCATAGAGTATGATATAGATTATAGAGTATGATATTGATCATAGAGTATGATATAGATTATAGAGTATGATATTGATCATAGAGTATGATATTGATCATAGAGTATGATATTGATCAAAGAGTATGATATAGAGTATGATATTGATCATAGAGTATGATATAGATCATAGAGTATGATATTGATCATAGAGTATGATATTGATCATAGAGTATGATATAGATTATAGAGTATGATATTGATCATAGAGTATGATATTGATCATAGAGTATGATATTGATCAAAGAGTATGATATAGAGTATGATATTGATCATAGAGTATGATATTGATCAAAGAGTATGATATAGAGTATGATATTGATCATAGAGTATGATATTGATCATAGAGTATGATAGAGAGTATGATATTGATCATAGAGTATGATATTGATCATAGAGTATGATAGAGAGTATGATATTGATCATAGAGTATGATATTGATCATAGAGTATGATATTGATCATAGAGTATGATATAGAGTATGATATTGATCATAGAGTATGATATTGATCATAGAGTATGATATTGATCATAGAGTATGATATAGAGTATGATATTGATCATAGAGTATGATATAGATTATAGAGTATGATATTGATCATAGAGTATGATATTGATCATAGAGTATGATATTGATCATAGAGTATGATATAGAGTATGATATTGATCATAGAGTATGATATAGATTATAGAGTATGATATTGATCATAGAGTATGATATTGATCATAGAGTATGATATTGATCATAGAGTATGATATTGATCATAGAGTATGATATAGATTATAGAGTATGATATTGATCATAGAGTATGATATAGATTATAGAGTATGATATTGATCATAGAGTATGATATTGATCATAGAGTATGATATTGATCAAAGAGTATGATATAGAGTATGATATTGATCATAGAGTATGATATAGATCATAGAGTATGATATTGATCATAGAGTATGATATTGATCATAGAGTATGATATTGATCATAGAGTATGATATTGATCATAGAGTATGATAGAGAGTATGATATTGATCATAGAGTATGATATTGATCATAGAGTATGATATAGAGTATGATATTAATCATAGAGTATGATAGAGAGTATGATATTGATCATAGAGTATGATAGAGAGTATGATATTGATCATAGAGTATGATATTGATCATAGAGTATGATATTGATCATAGAGTATGATATAGAGTATGATATTGATCATAGAGTATGATATTGATCATAGAGTATGATATTGATCAAAGAGTATGATATAGAGTATGATATTGATCATAGAGTATGATAGAGAGTATGATATTGATCATAGAGTATGATATTGATCATAGAGTATGATATTGATCAAAGAGTATGATATAGAGTATGATATTGATCATAGAGTATGATATTGATCATAGAGTATGATAGAGAGTATGATATGTCTCACCTTCCCCTCCCTGGGGCTGAACCTGAGCTGGAAGTTCTCTCCCAGCATGGAGGCTCTGAACCCTCCGAGCTGCAGCTCGGTCCTCAGGAGACGCTCTGACAGAACCACGTGGTACCGGGTCGTATTCACATCCTGTTTTCAGAATAAAAGCGTTTTCACTGACACCGAAACACAGCCATGTTTATTCACTACCAGTTGATCAGGAATGAGTACCGTACCAGAGCGGTGGCAGCCATCTTGGTGAGGTAATCCGTGACGGCGGCGTTTGTCGGAGCGAAGACGGTGAACTCGTCCGCCTGCTCGATCTCCTCCGTCAGGTTGTAGTCCTGCACGCAATCACACACAGTTACAAACAATACATCAAAATATATATTGATTATATTGAGATATTACGTACGATGAGGTACGATCTAAAGAGAGAAAACTCCGGACGCAGGGCGAGCGTCTCCAGCAGACCTTCACTCAGCTTCCTGTCGGGAACCAGGACCTGCAGACAGGAAGAAGGGTCATTAGCATCGTTAGCAGCGTTAGCATATATAACATTGTTAGCATTGATGTGGTTACAGAATTGTTTCGAAAATTGTTTAATGTTCAAAAAGCTCTTGATTTTTTTCTCATACTGCCTCTTTTCACCCTCTGTCTGAAACCAGAGCGAAGTCTGCTCTGATGTGATTGGTCAACCAGCTTAGAGATGTCCCGCCTCTTAGCCTATCACGTACAATGTGTTGGAGCGCTAGCCAATAGGAGCGTGACTGTTACGTAGTGATGTCATTGTGTTCTGCAGCGTGTCATGTGATCACCTGGTCGATGACGTGGATCAGTCCGTTGGTGGCAGCGATGTCAGCCGTGGTGATGGTGGCTCCTCCCACAGAAAACTGCACCTGCAGAAAGTGTCACACACCTTTAGACTCTGTGTGGTCCTCACAGGTGATTTATGTAACATAAACAAAGAAGACTCACCTGGTTGGTGGTGGAAACAGGAAGTGATGTCTTGAGGAGCGAGGTCAGAGAGGAAGTGCTGCTCAGGCTGGATAACGGGAAGTTCCCCGGGATCATGTGATTCCTGTGGAGGACACAAGCTAGCTGTCAGCGCTAACGTACAACACTCTGAAGAGGTTCAGGTGATTCAGAGTTCAGACCTGAGGAGGCTGGGCAGATTGCCCTTCAGGGTCCAGAAGCTTCTGTCCTCTGAGGACATCTTAGAGACGGCAGCTGAAGACGGGACCAGGAGTGTGAGGTTCTGATCCGACAGAGACCAGGACACACCAGAGTCCTGAACACAACCACAGGAACACATCTCAGATCACATGGGATCATCTGAGATCAACTGACAACATCTGGGATCATCTGAGATCATCTGAGATAATCTGAGATCATCTGAGACCACCTGAGATCATCTGAGATCACCTGAGATCACCTGGGATCATCTGAGACCATCTGGGGTCACATGGGATCATCTGAGATCACCTGAGACCACCTGAGATCATCTGAGATCACCTGAGATCACCTGGGATCATCTGAGACCACCTGAGATCATCTGAGATCACCTGGGATCATCTGAGATCATCTGGGGTAACATGGGATCATCTGGGATCACCTGAGATCATCTGAGATCACATGGGATCCCCTGAGATCACCTGAGATCATCTGGGGTCACATGGGATCATCTGGGATCACCTGAGATCATCTGAGATCGCCTGGGATCCCCTGAGATCACCTGGGATCATCTGAGACCACCTGAGATCATCTGAGACCACCTGAGATCATCTGAGATCACCTGAGATCACCTGAGATCACCTGGGATCATCTGGGATCATCTGAGATCATCTGAGATCAGATAAAAACGGAGTGGACAAAGACGGGTTCTGCGATATGTCCTCTCTTTGAGTTGTTTATGTTTTACAGCTGTGCTGACTATCTGAATGTAGAGAAAGGAATCCGTTTGTACTCACAGTGGTCCAGGTGGAGAACTCAGAAACGTCCGGCAGAGTCATCAGCGCCTGAAGGCATCACGGAAAGTAACTAAGTACATTTACTCCAGACTTTGAATGTATTTTAACATTGAAGTAAAGAAACACAGGTGAGGTGTGAACAGGTGAGGTGTGAACAGGTGAGGTGTGAACAGGTGAGGTGTGAACAGGTGAGGTGTGAACAGCTGGAGCTCACCTGGAAGACGGTCCCATAACACACATGTCCGTCTCCGGAGTATCCATCGTCACAGACACATGTCCACTGAGAGGACAGCAGCTGGCAGGTCGCCTGAACACAACACGGTCAGATCCAGAGACTCAATGCTATGATGGTGAAGGTAGCACTGATACTAACCAGGTCGCCTGAACACAACACGGTCAGATCCAGAGACTCAACGCTGTGATGGTGAAGGTAGCTCTGATACTAACCAGGTCGCCTGAACACAACACGGTCAGATCCAGAAACTCAACGCTATGATGGTGAAGGTAGCTCTGATACTAACCAAATCAAAACGGATATAATAAACTCAGTTCAAAGGCTCCTACACATCCATAGAGGGGACACATGTTGATGTAGAAGAGACATGAAGAAGAGGGGACACATGTTGATGTAGAAGAGACATGAAGAAGAGGGGACACATGTTGATGTAGAAGAGACATGAAGAAGAGGGGACACATGTTGATGTAGAAGAGACATGAAGAAGAGGGGACACATGTTGATGTAGAAGAGACATGAAGAAGAGGGGATACATGTTGATGAAGAAGAGACATGAAGAAGAGGGGACACATGTTGATGAAGAAGAGACATGAAGAAGAGGGGACACATGTTGATGAAGAAGAGACATGAAGAAGAGGGGACACATGTTGATGTAGAAGAGACATGAAGAAGAGGGGGACACATGTTGATGAAGAAGAGACATGAAGAAAGAGGGGACACATGGTGATGTAGAAGAGACATGAAGAAGAGGGGACACATGTTGATGTAGAAGAGACATGAAGAAGAGGGGACACATGGTGATGTAGAAGAGACATGAAGAAGAGGGGACACATGTTGATGAAGAAGAGACATGAAGAAGAGGGGACACATGGTGATGTAGAAGAGACATGAAGAAGAGGGGACACATGGTTGATAGAAGAGACATGAAGAAGAGGGGACACATGTTGATGAAGAAGAGACATGAAGAAGAGGGGACACATGTTGATGAAGAAGAGACATGAAGAAGAGGGGACACATGTTGATGTAGAAGAGACATGAAGAAGAGGGGACACATGTTGATGAAGAAGAGACATGAAGAAGAGGGGACACATGTTGATGAAGAAGAGACATGAGAAGAGGGGACACATGTTGATGTAGAAGAGACATGAAGAAGAGGGGACACATGTTGATGAAGAAGAGACATGAAGAAGAGGGGACACATGTTGATGAAGAACAGACATGAAGAAGAGGGGACACATGTTGATGAAGAACAGACATGAAGAAGAGGGGACACATGTTGATGTAGAAGAGACATGAAGAAGTGGCTTTTGCAGAATAGGTGTAGTACTGATACTGACCAGGTGGTGGCAGCCCCCCCGCTGGGAGACGCACTGGTTCACCGCCTCACAGTTGCTGCCACTGCCTCTGTAGCCCGGCTTACAGCTGCAGTCACTCTGAGGTGGGGGGAATCAATATCAGTGTCTGGTGACCCCCATCAGGATTTATATTATTTATCTAATTTATCATTCCATCTACTTGTTTATAGACTCTTCGTGCACTATTTCTATTTTATTTGTATTTACTTGCACATCTCAAAACATTCTCTTGCACTATTTTATCTGTTATTGTATTCAGGGTCAGGTGTATCAGGTGTGTTCAGGGTCAGGTGTATCAGGTGTGTTCAGGGTCAGGTGTATCAGGTGTGTTCAGGGTCAGGTGTATCCGGTGTGTTCAGGGTCAGGTGTATCCGGTGTGTTCAGGGTCAGGTGTATCAGGTGTGTTCAGGGTCAGGTGTATCCGGTGTGTTCAGGGTCAGGTGTATCCGGTGTGTTCAGGGTCAGGTGTATCCGGTGTGTTCAGGGTCAGGTGTATCCGGTGTGTTCAGGGTCAGGTGTATGAGGTGTGTTCAGGGTCAGGTGTATGAGGTGTGTTCAGGGTCAGGTGTATCCGGGGTGTTCAGGGTCAGGTGTATCCGGTGTGTTCAGGGTCAGGTGTATCCGGTGTGTTCAGGGTCAGGTGTATCCGGTGTGTTCAGGGTCAGGTGTATGAGGTGTGTTCAGGGTCAGGTGTATCATGTGTGTTCAGGGTCAGGTGTATCCGGTGGGTTCAGGGTCAGGTGTATGAGGTGTGTTCAGGGTCAGGTGTATCCGGTGTGTTCAGGGTCAGGTGTATCAGGTGGGTCAGGGTCAGGTGTATGAGGTGTGTTCAGGGTCAGGTATATGAGGTGTGTTCAGGATTAGGCGTATGAGGTTGTGTTCAGGTCAGGCGTATCCGGTGTGTTCAGGGGTCAGGCGTATGAGGTGGTGTTCAGGGTCAGGTGTATCCGGTGTGTTCAGGGTCAGAGGCGTATGAGGTGTGTTCAGGGTCAGGTGTATCCGGTGTGTTCAGGGTCAGGTGTATCAGGTGGGTTCAGGTCAGGTGTATCAGTGTGTTCAGGGTCAGGTGTATCCGGTGTGTTCAGGGTCAGGTGTATCCGGTGGGGTTCAGGGTAAGGTGTATCAGGTGTGTTCAGGGTCAGGTGTATGAGGTGTGTTCAGGGTCAGGTGTATCATGTGTGTTCAGGGTCAGGCGTATGAGGTGTGTTCAGGGTCAGGTGTATCAGGTGTGTTCAGGGTCAGGTGTATGAGGTGTGTTCAGGGTCAGGTGTATCCGGTTGTGGTTCAGGGTCAGGTGATCAGGTGTGTTCAGGGTCAGGTGTATCAGGTGTGTTCAGGGTCCAGGGTATATGAGGTGTGTTCAGGATCAGGTGTATGAGGTGTGTTCAGGGTCAGGTGTATGAGGTGTGTTCAGGGTCAGGTGTATCCGGTTGTGTTCAGGGTCAGGTGTATGAGGTGTGTTTAGGGTCAGGTGTGTCCTCACCTGTCCAGGTCCCACGTAGATGCAGGAGGCGTTGGGATGGCAGCCCCCCCCCCCTCAGGCGCCTGGCAGTTGTTGATTGGCTGACAGTCGTTCTCCGTCCCGCCTCCAGCCCGCTCAGACACTGACAGCTGTGAGCTCCAGGAGCGCTGCGCACACACTTGGCCTGCAGGGGGCGCAGCACACAATACTGCTTTAATTTAAACTTGAAATACATGTACTGCTATTGAAGATGGATTTTACAAAAGAGAATCAGAGGACAGGGGGGAAAGGTTACATGAAATATGATCTGAGATTAAAAAGTCTCAAATTTGCAAAAGAAAAAATAAACAAGTCTGTGAAATTATAAAGTCATAACATATGGAGAATGAATTCAAATAAAGCTTGAGAAGTGAAAACTTAAAACTCTGTGGAAAATATGAAATCATAAACATGTCAGTAAATGTTATTAAAGTTATTTAATAAAAACAAACTTAGATAAAAAAAAAGTTTTTCAACCAAATGAATTATAAATGCAAAGCGTTTAGAAGTGTCTCTGTCGTGGATCAAAGTGCTGCTGGTCTACACTTTAGGGTTTAATAACTCACGTTAACGCTGCAGCCTCCACGGAGGGGGGGTGCGCACAGGTCCGCCTCCACACAGGTGATCCCGTCACCTTGGTAACCATGTTTACAAATACACCTAAGATAAGATAGGATGGAACTTTATTTGTCCCCTCGGGGACATGCAGGCGTTGAGAGCAGCAACAGGTCGGAGTTCAAACAGGATTCACACGAGGTGGAAATAAAGATCAAATAGAGTAAACAATTAAAATAATAATACAAAATGTGTTTAGAATAAAGTGATAAAGTAACTGTTAAAACAAGATATCACAGTAACGTTTGGGTTTAAGTCCTGTCTCTGACTCAATAGGCGCGTTCACACCGCAGTACTTTTCCCACTTAAGTTCCGATATAGTTCCGAAATGTCGCGTTCACACCAAAAAGAGCCTGAACTAAAATGAGTTCATCAGAACCTTTTTCACCCCCTTTCCCGTCCCTGCTAGAGAGCCAGGTACTTTCGTGGGAGAAAAAGGTTTCCTATGTCTGATTGGCTGGGAGGATTGCAAACCACGCCCCGTAAAACTCCAAAAACGTTTTGTAGAGCCGCCATTTTATTATCCTCGCATTAGCATTATTAGCATTAGCATTAGCCCAGCGCACAAACGCAGAGAGACTAACTTATGGCAACACAAAAGAAAACATGGGAGCGGTGCAGATGAGGAGGTGTCGGCGCTCTGGTGATTTCCTCTGAAGGCTTCAGTAGAAGCAGCTGGGAGTCCCAGCAGCTTCTACTGAAGCCTTCCCCAACTCCGGGGACTTCCGGCCGGGGACTCCGGGTGGCAGTATACACCGTGAAGTGGTTTGCTGCCTGCCAGTAAACCCAAAGCAGAAGAAGAAGAAGTGACGTCAGCGGCTTCATTTGCCTAACCCTAGCCCTCAGGGACTTATTCCGGTGTGAACGCGATCTGTACTTAGTTCATCAGAACTAAAGAGTTCTGATGAAACCTTTGTGTGAAAGCGCCTAATGGTTTCTAATGGAGGACACCCTGCCTCCACTCTGTCCCCCTGTCAGACTGACAGGTGAGGGACAGGTGAGCTCACCTGAACGCCCACGCCCCGGGGTGAAGTCGCAGTCAGCGTGAGCGTGACAGAAGTGAACCTGAAGGCCACACGGCGCCGTCTGTCTCTCACAGAAACCGCCCGGTGAAGCCCGGCTGACACGAGTTCGGTTTACAGCGTCCGTCTGAATCTGGACGGTTCTCACACTGCCCGTGGACACAGGGACAGGCTGGGAGACAGGTGAGAGAGACAGGTGAGAGACAGGTGAGAGACAGGTGAGAGACAGATGAGAGACAGAGAGAGAGAGACAGGTGAGAGACAGGTGAGACATACAGGTGAGAGACAGGTGAGACATACAGGTGAGAGACAGGTGAGAGACAGGTGAGACATACAGGTGAGAGACAGGTGAGAGACAGGTGAGACATACAGGTGAGAGACAGGTGAGACATATAGGTGAGAGACAGGTGAGACATATAGGTGAGAGACAGGTGAGACATACAGGTGAGAGACAGGTGAGACATATAGGTGAGACAGACAGGTGAGACATACAGGTGTGAGACAGGTGAGAGACAGACGAGACATACAGGTGTGAGACAGGTGAGAGACAGACGAGACATACAGGTGAGAGACAGGTGAGAGACAGACGAGACATACAGGTGAGAGACAGGTGAGACATACAGGTGAGAGACAGGTGAGAGACAGATGAGACAACCGGTGAGAGACAGGTGAGAGACAGACGAGACATACAGGTGAGAGACAGGTGAGACATACAGGTGTGAGACAGGTGAGAGACAGATGAGAGAAAGGTGAGACATACAGGTGAGAGACAGGTGAGACATACAGGTGTGAGACAGGTGAGAGAAAGGTGAGACATACAGGTGAGAGACCGGTGAGAGACAGGTGAGACAGAGACAGCTTTAATAAGCCCCACAGTAACACACCTGTGTGACATCATCAAAGACTTACTTCTGTCACAGGTGGGTCCGAACCTGCTGGAGGACGAGCAGAACTGACAGCGAGAGCCTCCGAAGTTCTGCTCGCAGATACAAGAGCCGTTCCCTGAGATCCCCTCCACACACTGAAACACAAACGCATGTGTGTGTGTGTGTGTGTGTGTGTGTGTGTGTGTGTGTGTGTGTGTGTGTGGTGTGTGTGGTGTGTGTGTTACCTGGCCGTGTCCAGAACAGGGTGTCTGGAATCCTCCGGGACAGGAAGTGCAGTCCAGACCGTAGAACCCTTTACAACACGCCCGAGTCTGAGCACAGAAACATCCGTCAACAACCACAACAACAACAACAACAACAACAACAACAACAACATGTTTGTTTGTGCTGCGAAACATGTTACTGTAAGACTGTTCCTACGGAAGCCCTGAGAGGCCAGTCAGAAAACAAAATAGAGTGTTATCAGTGTGTTGTTGAGTGTTATCAGTGTGTAGTTGAGTGTTATCAGTGTGTAGTTGAGTGTTATCAGTGTGTTGAGTGTTATCAGTGTGTAGTTGAGTGTTATCAGTGTGTAGTTGAGTGTTATCAGTGTGTTGAGTGTTATCAGTGTGTAGTTGAGTGTTATCAGTGTGTAGTTGAGTGTTATCAGTGTGTAGTTGAGTGTTATCAGTGTGTAGTTGAGTGTTATCAGTGTGTAGTTGAGTGTTATCAGTGTGTAGTTGAGTGTTATCAGTGCGTAGTTGAGTGTTATCAGTGTGTAGTTGAGTGTTATCAGTGTGTAGTTGAGTGTTATCAGTGTGTAGTTGAGTGTTATCAGTGTGTAGTTGAGTGTTATCAGTGTGTAGTTGAGTGTTATCAGTGTGTTGAGTGTTATCAGTGTAGTTGAGTGTTATCAGTGTGTAGTTGAGTGTTATCAGTGTGTAGTTGAGTGTTATCAGTGTGTTGAGTGTTATCAGTGTGTTGAGTGTTATCAGTGTGTAGTTGAGTGTTATCAGTGTGTTGTTGAGTGTTATCAGTGTGTTGAGTGTTATCAGTGCGTAGTTGAGTGTTATCAGTGCGTAGTTGAGTGTTATCAGTGTGTAGTTGAGTGTTATCAGTGTGTTGTTGAGTGTTATCAGTGTGTTGAGTGTTATCAGTGTGTTGAGTGTTATCAGTGTGTAGTTGAGTGTTATCAGTGTGTTGAGTGTTATCAGTGTGTTGAGTGTTATCAGTGTGTAGTTGAGTGTTATCAGTGTGTTGAGTGTTATCAGTGTGTTGAGTGTTATCAGTGTGTAGTTGAGTGTTATCAGTGTGTTGAGTGTTATCAGTGTGTAGTTGAGTGTTATCAGTGCGTAGTTGAGTGTTATCAGTGTGTAGTTGAGTGTTATCAGTGCGTAGTTGAGTGTTATCAGTGTGTAGTTGAGTGTTATCAGTGTGTAGTTGAGTGTTATCAGTGTGTAGTTGAGTGTTATCAGTGCGTAGTTGAGTGTTATCAGTGTGTAGTTGAGTGTTATCAGTGTGTTGAGTGTTATCAGTGTGTTGTTGAGTGTTATCAGTGTGTTGTTGAGTGTTATCAGTGTGTTGAGTGTTATCAGTGTGTAGTTGAGTGTTATCAGTGTGTTGTTGAGTGTTATCAGTGTGTTGTTGAGTGTTATCAGTGTGTTGAGTGTTATCAGTGTGTAGTTGAGTGTTATCAGTGTGTAGTTGAGTGTTATCAGTGTGTAGTTGAGTGTTATCAGTGTGTAGTTGAGTGTTATCAGTGCGTAGTTGAGTGTTATCAGTGTGTTGTTGAGTGTTATCAGTGTGTAGTTGAGTGTTATCAGTGTGTTGAGTGTTATCAGTGCGTAGTTGAGTGTTATCAGTGTGTTGAGTGTTATCAGTGTGTAGTTGAGTGTTATCAGTGTGTAGTTGAGTGTTATCAGTGTGTGTTGAGTGTTATCAGTGTGTTGAGTGTTATCAGTGTGTAGTTGAGTGTTATCAGTGTGTTGAGTGTTATCAGTGTGTAGTTGAGTGTTATCAGTGTGTAGAGTGTTATCAGTGTGTAGTTGAGTGTTATCAGTGTGTTGAGTGTTATCAGTGTGTAGTTGAGTGTTATCAGTGTGTAGAGTGTTATCAGTGTGTAGTTGAGTGTTATCAGTGTGTTGTTGAGTGTTATCAGTGTGTTGTTGAGTGTTATCAGTGTGTTGAGTGTTATCAGTGTGTTGAGTGTTATCAGTGTGTAGTTGAGTGTTATCAGTGTGTAGTTGAGTGTTATCAGTGTGTAGTTGAGTGTTATCAGTGTGTAGTTGAGTGTTATCAGTGTAGTTGAGTGTTATCAGTGTGTTAGAGTGTTATCAGTGTGTTGTTGAGTGTTATCAGTGTGTTGAGTGTTATCAGTGTGTAGTTGAGTGTTATCAGTGTGTTGAGTGTTATCAGTGTGTAGTTGAGTGTTATCAGTGTGTAGTTGAGTGTTATCAGTGTGTTGTTGAGTGTTATCAGTGTGTAGAGTGTTATCAGTGTGTTGAGTGTTATCAGTGTGTAGTTGAGTGTTATCAGTGTGTAGTTGAGTGTTATCAGTGTGTAGTTGAGTGTTATCAGTGTGTAGTTGAGTGTTATCAGTGTGTAGTTGAGTGTTATCAGTGTGTTGAGTGTTATCAGTTGCGTAGTTGAGTGTTATCAGTGTTGTTGAGTGTTATCAGTGTGTAGTTGAGTGTTATCAGTGTGTAGTTGAGTGTTATCAGTGTGTAGTTGAGTGTTATCAGTGTTGTTGAGTGTTATCAGTGTGTAGTTGAGTGTTATCAGTGTGTAGTTGAGTGTTATCAGTGTGTAGTTGAGTGTTATCAGTGTGTAGAGTGTTATCAGTGTGTAGTTGAGTGTTATCAGTGTGTTGAGTGTTATCAGTGTGTTGAGTGTTATCAGTGTGTAGTTGAGTGTTATCAGTGTGTAGTTGAGTGTTATCAGTGTGTAGTTGAGTGTTATCAGTGTGTTGTTGAGTGTTATCAGTGTGTAGTTGAGTGTTATCAGTGTGTAGTTGAGTGTTATCAGTGTGTAGTTGAGTGTTATCAGTGTGTTGAGTGTTATCAGTGTGTTGAGTGTTATCAGTGTGTAGTTGAGTGTTATCAGTGTGTAGTTGAGTGTTATCAGTGTGTAGTTGAGTGTTATCAGTGTGTAGTTGAGTGTTATCAGTGTAGTTGAGTGTTATCAGTGTGTAGTTGCATGTTATCAGTGTGTAGTTGAGTGTTATCAGTGTGTAGTGTGTTATCAGTGTGTTGAGTGTTATCAGTGTGTAGTTGAGTGTTATCAGTGTGTAGTAGAGTGTTATCAGTGTGTAGTTGAGTGTTATCAGTGTGTTGTTGAGTGTTATCAGTGTGTAGAGTGTTATCAGTGTGTTGTTGAGTGTTATCAGTGTGTAGTTGTGTTATCAGTGTGTAGTTGAGTGTTATCAGTGTGTAGTTGAGTGTTATCAGTGTGTAGTTGAGTGTTATCAGTGTGTTGAGTGTTATCAGTGCGTAGTTGAGTGTTATCAGTGTTGTTGAGTGTTATCAGTGTGTAGTTGAGTGTTATCAGTGTGTAGTTGAGTGTTATCAGTGTGTAGTTGAGTGTTATCAGTGTTGTTGAGTGTTATCAGTGTGTAGTTGAGTGTTATCAGTGTAGTTGAGTGTTATCAGTGTGTAGTTGAGTGTTATCAGTGTGTAGAGTGTTATCAGTGTGTAGTTGAGTGTTATCAGTGTGTTGAGTGTTATCAGTGTGTTGAGTGTTATCAGTGTGTTGAGTGTTATCAGTGTGTTGTTGAGTGTTATCAGTGTGTAGTTGAGTGTTATCAGTGTGTTGAGTGTTATCAGTGTGTAGTTGAGTGTTATCAGTGTGTAGTTGAGTGTTATCAGTGCGTAGTTGAGTGTTATCAGTGTGTAGTTGAGTGTTATCAGTGTAGTTGAGTGTTATCAGTGTGTAGTTGAGTGTTATCAGTGTGTAGTTGAGTGTTATCAGTGTGTAGTTGCATGTTATCAGTGTGTAGTTGAGTGTTATCAGTGTGTAGTTGAGTGTTATCAGTGTGTTGAGTGTTATCAGTGTGTAGTTGAGTGTTATCAGTGTGTAGTTGAGTGTTATCAGTGTGTTGAGTGTTATCAGTGTGTAGTTGAGTGTTATCAGTGTGTAGTTGAGTGTTATCAGTGTGTAGTTGAGTGTTATCAGTGTGTATTGTCATGTTATCAGTGTGTAGTTGAGTGTTATCAGTGTGTTGAGTGTATCAGTGTGTTGAGTGTTATCAGTGTGTAGTTGAGTGTTATCAGTG